GTTCTTACCCTCCCTCCCTTTATCCACTCACTTCCTCTGGAAGGAGTGGACACACAGGTGAGGCAACCAATGCCCGGCCAGGCTTGTCCAGTGCTGGGATGGCGGGGGCAGGCGGAGGCAGGGGAAGAAGATCCAAGGCCCTAAGCCACCGAGCCCAGCAAGGAAGGACATCCAAGTCCCCTTTAGGAACCCGCCGCCACACACACACACACACACACACACACACACCCCAAACGTCCCCTCTGGACCAAGGCAGCGGGCCGAGTCCTGAAGTGAGTTGCTGTTGCCTGCTGCTCGGTGCTGGCGATGAGGAAGCGTGGGCAGCTTCGTTCAAGCCACGCCCAGCTGCCTGGACCAAGCCGGAGGAGCCCGAGTCCGGCCCGGGAGACAGCAGAGGCATGCTGGAGGCGCCCGGTCAACGACCGAAGCTCTTGGCCATCAGTGGGATTCCCTAAAATGTATTTCTTGATGAGAATGGCAGGGTGACACAGAGACCTTGCAGGAGTAAGCCAGATGCGAGGCAGGAGCGGGGCCTCCCTCCTGGTCTCCCACTCCTCTAACCGTCATTACTATTATCCAGAAAATCCGGGGGCTGGTGCAGCAGGTTAAGGTGTTGCCCGTGAGGCTGGCATCCCACATGAGTGCTGACTCGTGTCACAGCTGCTCCACTTCTGAACCCACGCGGGAGACCTGCAACGAGTTTCAGACTCTCGGCTTGGGTCGGCCCAGCCCGGCTCTGCCTGCTGCTGCCGCTTGCAGAGTAACTCAACGGGTGAAAGAGCTCTGTGTGTCTCTACCACTCAGATAGTTTTTAAAATAATAATAATAGGTCCCAGTGCAGTAGCCTGGAAGCTAGGGTCCTCGCCTTGCACACGCTGGGATCCCATATAGGTACGAGTTTATGTCCCAGATGCCCCGTTTCCCATCCAGCTCCCTGCCTGTGGCCTGGGAAAGCAGTGGAGGACGGCCCAAAGCCTTGGGACCCTGCACCCGCGTGGGAGGCCTGCAAGCAGCTGCTGGCTCCTGGCTTCAGATCAGCTCAACTCTGGCCATTGCGGCTGCTTGGGGAGTGAATCAGTGGATGGAAGCTCTTCCTTTCTCTCTCTCTTCCTCTCTGCATATATAACTTTCCAATACAAAATAAAATAAATCTTAATAATAATAATAATAATAATAAAGTCCCATAGAAAAGCCAACGGAGGAGGACGCAGCAGCGCCCCCTGCTGACGGAGCCCAGCAAGCGCACGCTGCAGAGGGAAAAAGCCGCTTTGGGGGTTCGGTTAATGGGACGCTGCAGGTAGAACTGCCCTTGTAGGCAACCCCAGCACACAGCCAGCCAAGGCAGGGGTCGGTCCTGATCGGCAGCCCGAAGACAGACGATCCAAGAGCCCCCCACCCCGCCACAGGAAGGGAATGGCCCCATGGACAGCAAGGGGGTCGGCGTGGACAGTGTGCCCGCTCATGGACAGCAAGGGGGTCGGCGTGGACAGTGTGCCCGCTTTCTGGGTGTCGGGGTTCGAAAGAGGCGCATCAAGGGCTCACGTGGTAGCTCGGTGGAAGCACGCATGTAAGCATACACACGAACACGGGACCCTCGGTGTCCGCACGCAGTTGGCTGCAGTGTCCTGGCAGACGCCGACGTGTGGACACTGCGGCTTCGAAAGGCCAGCAGGCTTGCGTTTCGGTGTGGTCTGCATCTCTACGCAGAGAACACACCGGGTAAATTCACAGCCTGAACACGGGGCGTCTGTCCTGTGCAATCCGTGAGCACCCAGCCGCGGACAGGCATGCAAAGGCCACGGGCAGATGCCATCCTATAGTTGGGGGGGGGCCATGCTGGTCTGTTCCATTTTCTTTAGTTTGCAAAAGGTCCAGTGGGCTAAGTGGCCACTCCTTCGGGCCTGCACTGCCCCCTGCAGTCCACAGCCGGCTACAGCGTGTCGCCTTGCCCTGCCTCGACTGCAGACAGGAGGGACACGGGAGACAGCCGAGGACGTGAGCTGACAGCAGGCCCACGCCCACGAATGGCCATGACAGCCCTGTGGGTGGGGGCGCAAACTCCAGCGCCTGGACACCGTTCTCCAGCCACTCCCTACTGGTCGTCCTCTCTGCAGTGATGCGTCCACCTCCGCCACCTGCTTAGTGGCCCCTCAGACGCCAAAGGCTCTGCCCCTGTCGCCCCTTCCCGCTCACTGACCGCTGCCCACGTCCCCGACCCGCAATGGCTGAGATTCACGGTCCAGACAGACCCTTCCTGCAGATCTTCCCGGAGCAATCACACAGACTGCCCTTCTGCAGGGCCCGTCCCACCCCACGTCTCTGCACACACCAACAGCTCAGCCTCACGCCTGTCACCCTGGCTGAGCTCCTCGTCCATGCCCACCTGCAGCGGGACACGTGGCTGCCTCGGTGCTCACTGACAGTCCCCTGGGTGGCAGCACTGTCAGGTGCTGGCCGGTGGCCCCTCCCCTTGGGTCCCAGCCATGCGGGTGGAAGCATAGTCACAGCTCACGGTGGGCTCCGTTTTCACGGCTTTTTTCATGGGATTACTGGAATCCCACTTTTGCTTTACAAATTGTTTATCCTGAGTCTTTTGCCCATTAAAAAAAAAAAGTAATTTGGGGCTGGCACTGTGGTGGGTTGGGCTAAGCCATGAAAGCATCCCATGGGGTGCCAGTTTGTGTCCTGGCTGCTCCACTTCCAATCCAGCTCCATGTCAACGTACCCGGAACAGCAGCAAAGGATGGCCCAGGTCCTTGGTCTCTGCATCCACAGGGGAGACCCAGAGGAAACTCCTGGCTCCTGGCTTTGGCTTGGTCCAGCCCTGAATGTGGCAGTCATTTGGGGAGTGAACCAGCGTGCAATTCTGCCTTCCAAATAAGTTAATAAATATTAAGAAAAAAATGACTTAGGGACTGGTGCTATAGTGCTACAGGTTAAGCTGCAGTGCCAGCACCCCCACGGGTGTGAGTTCAAGTCCCAGTTGCCCCACTTCTGACCCAGCCCTTCGGGTAATTAGGCTATCAGCTGCTACTTTCCCCAGGCACAGCAGGGAGCTCGCTGCAAGTGGCGCGCCCTAAACTTGACCCATCGCTCATTTGGATTGCTGGCATCACAGGTGGTGGCATTTTAAAAAAGATTTAATTTTATTCGAGAGGTTTACAGAGAGGAGAGACAGACAGAAAGATCTTCCATCTGCTGGTTCACTCCCCAAGTGGCTGTAATGGCCAGAACTGAACTGATCTGAAGCCAGGAGCCTCTTCTGGGTCCCAGAGCTTTGGACTATCCTCTACTGCTTTCCCAGGTGACAAGCAGGGAGCTGGATGGGCAGGGGAGCCGGCAGGATATGAACCATTGCCCATACTGGATCCCAGTGCGTGCAAGGTGAGGACTTGAGCCACCAGGCTAAGGTGGCGGTTTTACCTTCTAAGGGAAGGGTGCCCAGACAGACAGTGGCATGCAGGGAGCCGCCAGGGCACAGGCCCCAAGCCTTGGAGTTGACACAAGCGACACCCAGAAAGCCAGCTCCAGGGGACCCCGTGAGTGGTGGAGGCAAGCAGTGTCTCCCAGCAGGAGGCTGATCTGAGGATAGAGGTGGGGTGGGGAGGTCAAGGGCAAGATGGAGGGCTGCTGGAGAGGCAGGGCCAGGGCCCGGGGAGGCGGGGTGCTGGGCAGAACCCGGTCCTGCAGCATGGCATTGCAGAAGCTCTGGGAGAAGGGGCACACCCAGGGCCCCCCAAGCCAGGACACAGAGAGAAAGGGGGTCCGGGGGCTTAGTATGTGATGATAGGCCCCTCGTCTACACCCCACCCTGAAAATCAGCCCCCCGACCCTCTCCACCCCCTATATTCTGGGGACCAGTTAGGCTTGGGGAGGACACTGCCCCCAAAGGTGTTTTATACCCTTCTGGAAGAAGACATAGGGGAGCAAGTATGTCCCCATCCCATGTCTGGATCTGAAGGGAATGGGGCTGGACCCCTGGGTGTGAGGGAGGAGGGGCTGGACCCCTGGGTGTGAGGGAGAAGGGCTGGGCTGGACCCCTGGTGTGGGAGAGGCTGGACCCTGGGTGTGAGGAAGGAGGGGCTGGGCTGGACCCCTGGGTGTGAGGGAGGAGGGGCTGGACCCCTGGGTGTGAGGGAGAAGGGCTGGGCTGGACCCCTGGGTGTGAGGGAGGAGGGCTGGACCCCTGGGTGTGAGGGAGGAGGGGCTGGACCCCTGGGTCTGAGGGAGGAGGGGCTGGGCTGGACCCCTGGGTGTGAGGGAGGAGGGGCTGGACCCCTGGGTGTGAGGGAGGAGGGGCTGGACCCCTGGGTGTGAGGGAGGAGGGGCTGGACCCCTGGGTGTGAGGGAGGAGGGGCTGGAGCCCTGGGTGTGAGGGAGGAGGGTCTGGGCTGGACCCCTGGGTGTGAGGGAGGAGGGGCTGGACCCCCGGGTGTGAGGGAGGAGGGGCTGGGCTGGACCCCTGGGTGTGAGGGAGGAGGGGCTGGACCCCCGGGTGTGAGGGAGGAGGGTCTGGACCCCTGGGTGTGAGGGCAGGGGCTGCACCCCTGGTCTGAGGGGAGCGCCTGGGCTGCACCCCGGGCCGAGGGCGCGGGGCAGGGCGCGTGGGGGGCGTCTGGCGCCGCTGACAGAGGGGCCTGAGGAGGCGGAGCCTGCTTCGGGCACGCGTCCCCGACCCCGGGTGCAGCGTCGGGAGGGGCGGGGGCCGGGCCGCAGTAACAAAGGCCTCTCCCTCGGCCGAGCAGCCCCCCCGGCCCCGCCTCCCCGGGCCCCCGCCTGCCCTGATTGGCCGCTCTCCCTGCCCGTCAGCGCCGCCCCCCTCCCCGGGTCTGCAGCAGCTCCGGCCGCCTCGTCGCGCCCCCCCGGCCCCTCCCCCCGCCCCCGCCGCCCCCCGGGCCGGTGCAGCCGCAGGCGGGGTCCCCCTCCCCCTCCCCTCTCCCCCCAGGCCTCGCGCGCCCCGGCCGCCCCCTCCCCTCCCCCTGCGCGCCGCCGCCGCCGCGATGCCCCACCCTGCGCCCGGGGCCCGGCTCCGGCTCCTCGCCGCCGCCGCCCTGGCCGGCCTGGCCGTCATCAGCCGAGGTACCGCAGCGCCCGGGGGGTGGGGAGGCTGGGGCGAGGGGTGCAGGCGTGCGGGGCTGCATCCCGGGGCCGGACGGGGAGGCCCCCGGCACGCTCGGGTCCAGGCCCCGGAGGGGCGGGGGCGGCGCGCCCCGGCACGGACCAGGGTCCTCCGATGTCCTCCAGGGTGCAGGGGTCTGCCCGCCCGGGTCTCCGGCCCGGGTCTAGGGGGTGGAGGTCTCCTTGCCGTTCCCTGGCACGGGCGGAGGGGTCGCAGACGCTGGATCCCGGCTTCGAGGCAGGAATCCGGCTTGGGGGTCAGAGAGGGGGCTCGGACATGGGCCGGGGGTCCGCAGGCAGGATATCTAGAATTGAGCTGGGATGCGGAGCTGGGTGGGAGGGGAGTGGGTGATGCCCCGTGGGGGTCTTGGCCTCTGCGTGGGAGCGGGTCCCTAAGGAAGTCCTTGCCTGGGCCGGGGAGGTGTCCACGACGCCCTGAAGGGAGGGGAGGGGGCAAGCAGCCCCCAGCTGGGCCGCCTGGGTGGAGAGTGTTGGCATTTGGGGGATGGGTGGGGAAGTGCGGAATGTGGGGGAACGGAGCAGGGGGACCCTGGAGTTTGGGGTGCTGTGCTGAGGACTTGGGCGGTTCAGCTCTGATGGGATGTCGGGGTTCATGATGGAATGTGGAGGCTTGGGGGAGCCAAGGCGGGTGAGAACTGGACAGGGAGGCCATGGAGGAGCTGGGAGGGGGCGGGGGGGGTGGTCTTCAGCAGAGGAGGCAGGCACCTGTGCCCAGGCTGGGGTCTCCCCAAAACAGGCCTGGCCAGCACAGCTGGGCAAGGAGATGCCCCCGGGCACAGGGAGGAGAGAGGATGCCTATGGCAGGCTGCTGGCAGGCGTGCAGCAGGCAGGGAACCTGCTCCCCCACCCCCGACCACAGAGGGTCAGTCAGGGACATGCAGTCTGGGGACCCTTTAGCAGAGACACCCCCCACCCCCCAAGCAGGTTCAGAGAGGCGCCCACACAGACTGAGTGGCCACAACACAGTCATGGCACCTGCTGACACCCACAGCCACACAGGCCTGACTGCCCATCAGGCAGGGAGGGGAGTGGACCAGAGTCTCCGCGCTGCTTCCCCCGCTGGCCAGGGCCACCACAGCCTGCTGCGTGACCTCTCTCTCTCTCTGTCTGTCATCCCCGGAGGGCGCCATCCCTGGCACTCGCTGGGACATCCCTCTGCCTGTCCCGCAGCCCTGCTGCTGTCCACCCCACTGTCTGTGTGTCTCACACTGTCCCCTACGGCCTCCGCCTGACCTCTTGTCCTTTCACCTCTGCCTCCTCCGGGCATCTCGGCCACTGCCACCTCTCCTAGCCCATCCTGGTCTCTTGCCGTGTCCTCTCCCCTTTTCTTCTTTCTCCTTATTCTGTCCATCTCCCTACCCTTTCGTCTCAAGCTAACTGCCCTCTCTGCCCCTCACAGATCCCAGACAGGACCCGCCTCCTGGGGCAGGGGTGGGGTGCCCAAGTGCTTTCCCACCTCTGGCTGCTCTTGGGGTCCCCACGTGGGAATTAAAAGCAAGAAGGGTGTGACTGACGCCACCCCAGCCACCCACCCAGGCGACAGCCTGAAACGCAACTCAGCATCTTCGCCTGCCTCTTCTTGATGCCCCCCAAATTCCAAGAGCCTCCATGGAGAGAGAGGCCTCATCCCATAGGGATCACAGGGAACCCCACCATCCCCCTGGGGCCCCCAGCTCCTGAGAGACGGGGCCAGCAGTGGGGGGGCACCTGCCGTACGAACCCAGCCGCTGCCCACCAAGATCAGGGTCAAGCCCAGTCGGCTGGGCTTTGCTGACGCAAAGCAAGTCTGTTTCCGGGCCACTGGCCATGTTTTCATCCCCCACTTCACAAAACCTCCTTGGAGCCGCACGCAGGAATCTACCTTTAATTTGTTTTCCTGAATCTTTTATGTCGAGACACATATCCGCACTCATTCACAAAAGCAGCTCCGTCGTTGGACTAAAACACAATCCAACAACAGCAAACAGCAGCTCCCTCCGCTGCAGCTGGGGTGGGGGCTCCGTCCTGGGGCAGCTGGGTGGGGGCTCCGTCCTGGGGCAGCTGGGTGGGGGCTCCGTCCTGGGGCAGCTGGGTGGGGGCTCCGTCCTGGGGCAGCTGGGTGGGGGCTCCGTCCTGGGGCAGCTGGGTGGGGGCTCCGTCCTGGGGCAGCTGGGTGGGGGCTCTGTCCTGGGGCAGCTGGGGTGGGGGCTCTGTCCTGGGGCAGCTGGGTGGGGGCTCCGTCCTGGGGCAGCTGGGTGGGGGCTCCGTCCTGGGGCAGCTGGGTGAGGGAGGTGCACGGAGTGGGGGCACTGGGGGCAGTGGACGGGAGCTAGTGCCCTTCCTGGATCTCACGGCGTAGCCAGAAGAAGAGAGACCAGATGCTACAGCAGAAAACTTGCACACCTGAGCAGGTGGCTGCAGAGAGGAGCCTGGGACAGGGCTGGGTGGAGACCTGCTGACCACTGGAGCTCCAGGCCCCTCCTCATCCGCCCCCGGGGACAGGCTCTGTGCAGGTGACAGTAGGAATGAGACCCAAAGGAAGAGAATTAGCCATTAGGAGGCAAAGGCCCCTGAGGTGGGGATGCGTCTGGATCTGGGGCTCCACGTTCAGGATCTGGGCTCTCCAGGAGTCAGGGCTGGTCGCAAAGGGACCCAGATTCAAGACAGCGAAGGAGGAGGGAGAGGAGGAGGAGGGAGAGGAGGAGGAGACAGTGGCAGCCTGGCTGCCCTTCTGGTGGTGAGCCACCCCACGTTCTCCATGCCCGAGTCTCCAGGTCCAGCCTCACTTCCTCCTCACTACCTTCCCAGGCTCACAGGGCACTGTCTCGGTCCTGGCCCCGGTTCTGCCCCAAGTGCCCGGCACAGAGCAGGTGTCCACCTCCGCACCGAGGTGTCACCTCGGTCTCCTGCCCCCACCTGCACCTCCATTCACCAACCAGTGGGGAGGCTGCCCAGCCTGGGCCACGACCATGCTACTCCCAGTGTGTGCTGATCAGGCTCACTGCCCCCCACACTCCTGTAGCCCCCTCCTCGCACCCCAGGAGGGTGGTACGATTAGCCCTCCCCTTCACAGGGGTAAGCTGAGTCCCTAGGAGAGGATGAGTCCTGCATGTGGGAGCCGTGCCTTGAGTCTGCCATCCTGGCTCTTCCGGCTGCCTGCTTGGTTACGCTGGACAAAGCCAGTGCAAGGACAGAGCTGAAGGAAGGAGTCACTGACCCAGAGCATGCAACAGCCGGACACAGCGCTGCCCCCGCCCCAGCCGCCAGGCCGGACACAGCGCTGGCCCCCGCCCCAGCCGCCGGGCCCAGTGGAGGTGGATGTCTGTAAGAAGCAGGTGCAGCCAGGAGCGCTAGCCTCGGCTGAGCACCGATCTAATCGCCTTGTTTGCACCTTTGCCCAGGGTTCCTTGCCCCTAGGTCAGCCAAGTCCAGGGGAGTCCCAGTAGGCCGATGGGGTGGGGACTGTGCCTTGAACAGTCCGGGAGGGCCTCCTGGAGGAAGGGGCATTTGTGTTGGGGTCTTGAGGAGTGAATAGGAGTTTAAGTATGGCAGTGTGTCACAGGCACCCTCTTGGGTTCAGTGAGTGTTTTCCTGAGCCCCCACCGCAGAGGGCACAGACCGGAGCAGAGCCTCAAGCCATGCCTGCATGATGTAGTCCTGCAGCTGCAGTTATGTCCCACCCAGGTGCCAGCCTGGGGCCAGACAGGGGCACAACCCAAGGTGACCAGAGGGACAGGGGCTGGGTTCTAGGTCGGTCATCTTGGAACACGTGGATGGCCAGCCTGACCCAGAGAGGAAGGGACTCCTGGCGCTGCTGGGGCATCCAGAAATTTTGTAAGACGGGCATGCAAGCCCAGAACTCCGAACCGCCAGGCACAGAGACCGGGACTCAGAGGATCCCCGGAGGCCCGGACTCCTCCCTTGGCTGCTGGGACTGTCCACTCCCAGGGCCTCGGGATGCTGAGTGGCTGCTCACTGGGGTGGTGGGCACCCTACCTGGGCACCCTCCCATCCTGAATTCCTGAAAGGAGGAGGAAGACTGGCAGGAGGGTGAAGCCGGCAGATGCCAGGATGGGGGCCCGGACCCCCTGCCCTTGGGGCACCGTAGGCCACGGCCTCCTGCCATCACCTCCTGCAGGACACCATCATTGCAGGGCCTCTGGCAGTGCCCGGGGTGGTGGCTGTTGGCACCGGCAGGTTGGGGCCAGGGCCACTGCCCAATACCCTTCACGGCTCGAGACACCTGCAGTGCAGAAGTTAGGGGACCCTGACCAAGGCTGTGCCTGCCACTTGGTGCCCCTCTATGACATAGGGCTTTCCAAGGTGGGAGAGTAACACAGCATTGTGGTCAAGTGGTGTGTGTGTGAGAGAGAGAGAGAGAGAGCCCATGGAGGGCTGTGCATCACCCACGGACTCTGCAGACCCCTGTGCAGCCTGGCCTGGGACTGTCCCTCTGGACTGGGCATAACAACAGGAGTACCCCTGGGAGAGTGGTCACTGCCCACTGACGGGCTGCTGAGCATGTGTCTGGGGCGGCATGTGTTGGTATGGCTGTGTGTACCCCAGACCTTCTGTAACTATCTGTGAGACTCGTGTGTGTGTGTGTGTGTGTGTGTGTGCGTGTGTGTGTGTGTGTGTGTGTGTGTGTGTGTGTGGCCAACCCCTGTTGCTCCTGGAGGCTACACAGCAGCATCCACTGAGTACCAGTCGGTGGGGTGAGGCTGGGAAGGCCCAGCTCAGTGGCCAGGAGGCTCAGCCCCAGCCCTGAGGCCTGGCCTGGACTGCTTGCTGCAGCAGGCCCCGCCCAGACCTGTCCTGAGGGGCCTCTCTGATGGAGAGGACCCCCGGGAGTCATTGGGGCAGCACGGGCAATTAATTCATTAGATTAATTAGCTCCTCGTCCTCAGCTGGGGGCAGGGCTAGGGCCCTCCGGCTCCAGCCGGCCAAGGTCATGCAACCGTCTCCCTCCCTCCTCTCCCGCCTGGTGTCTCCTCCTCGCCTCCGCCTGCCCAGCCCCCACTCCCTGGCCCAGGTCCAGCCGCTGGCCACGGTCCACAGAGAGATGGATGGTGGCAGAGCCAGACGCGGGCTGGCGTGGGCGTGCCCTGGCGAGTGTGCTCTGTGGAGCATGGGTGTGCCCGCGTGTGTGTTGTGTGTCTGTAGCTGCAGCTGCAGCTGCGCGACTGTGAATTCCGGCGAGATGCATGGGTTTGCGTGTGGGTGGGTGCGCCTGGGCCATCGCGGGCCTCTGCATCCACAGGAGCCCACAGGCAGGAAACGCTGTGGGTGTGTCCCCATCTGGGCATGTCTGCCATGTGTGTCCCTGGAAACACCAAGGAAGGCAGGTGGGCAGTGCCACCTGCAGGAGGCGTCCGTCTGCAAGGGAGTGCATGGTTGCATGCAAAGGCGTGTGCCCACGTGTCCATGCCCTGCCCACGCTGCCAGGCTGAGCTGTCCCTCCCACCCACAGGGCTGCTGTCCCAGAGTCTGGAGTTCAACTCCCCGGCTGACAACTACACAGTGTGTGAAGGGGACAACGCCACCCTCAGGTACCTCTGCCACAGGGAATCCAGGCCTGGATTCAGCAGCTTTGTCCCTCCTCGCCCTCCCGACTCTGGGGACATTCAAGCACGGGGAGGGTGGCCCCAGCAGTGGCCAACCTGGTAGGGTGTGGACTCTGAGCCGGCTCCTTGTCTGGCAAAGGGGTGGAGAGAGAAGGCGCCCTGGGGATATTCACTCTATCACGCACGCGTGCTTCAGGACACAGCACAGCCTCACCTTCCGTGGACAACAGTCCGAATGGTCATCTCCCAGACCCTGTCTCTCCTCTCTCGGGGCTCTCCTCTCCCAACTCTGGGTCTCTGTGGCCCCCCCAGGTCTCTGTCCCCCCTGGGTCTCTGCCCCCCCCCAGGTCTCTGTCCCTCTCTCTCTCTCTCTGTCCGCCCCCTTCTCTCTTCCTCCTTGAATCCTGCCCGTTGAGATCCCTGACACAGCACCCTCAGTCACCCCCAGTGCTCACTCTGCTGTGCTCGTGGTCCGCCTCTTCCAACTCCCTCAGGCTGCAGTGTGATCTGCGGCTATCTTCAGCCTCTGCCCACCTGCCCTCCCCCCCCCACACACACCTTGCTGGCAGGAATGGAGGGTGGAGGTGACAGAGCTGTGGGAGTGAGCAGAGACAACCCTTCCCAACCCTCGCCTCCACCCCACAGCTGCTTCATCGACGAGCACGTGACCCGCGTGGCCTGGCTGAACCGCTCCAACATCCTGTACGCTGGCAATGACCGCTGGACCAGCGACCCCCGCGTGCGGCTGCTCATCAACACGCCTGAGGAGTTCTCCATCCTCATCACGCAGGTGGGACTGGGCGACGAGGGCCTCTACACCTGCTCCTTCCAGACGCGCCACCAGCCGTACACCACTCAGGTCTACCTCATTGTGCACGGTGAGCCCAGGCTGGGAACCCCGGAGGCGCGTGGCTGGGGATGGGGAGGTGAACCCCCCTGGTGCCACCACCCACATTCTTAGGGTCGTGACAGGATGGGGGTGGGCATGTTCAGGAAGTCTGCACTGAGTGGGCGCCTGCTGTGTGCCGGCACTGTTTTGGGACTGGAACTCCAAAGCAGGGCTCTGAGAGTGCTTCCCAGGCAAAAACAGAAGCAGATGGGGCACAGCAGGGGAATGGGGATGGACCAGGAGGTGCAGAGAGCAGAGACGGGGCTGGGGGCAGGGCAGGGATGGGCCAGAGCTCAGGAGCCTCCTCACAGTGCAGCATCAGAGGGAATCTGGGAGACAGATGCAAGCCCCGGGGACAGGGAGCGCTGAGTGGGTTGGCGGCACACCAGATGGCCACCAGCTGAGACCCTGGGCAGCCGGGAGTCCAGCCTGCAGTCGGGGAGGGGTGCTGTGTGTTGCAGGCACACAGGGGCCACCTGCATGTTGCACCCAGCTCTCCTACCTGTGACCTGATGGCACGTGGCGAAGCTGCCTCCCGCCCACCGGGAGTGGGGCAACCCAGAGGGCAGGCTTTAGTAAAGGAGTTAGAATCTACAGTGCAGCCAGCACCTCATGAGTGTTAATCCAGTTACCGCAAAAATGGACATTTAGGAAACCACAAACAGGGAGTTAAGGAAGACAGACCCCAAAACAGAGTCTGCAAAGGGCAGGAAGTCAATGAGTAATTCACAGAGAGGAACAGATAGAACACGTGTCCACACAGCAGAGCCAGTGGACCAGCCATCTACACAGGTAGATCAGCCACCATCAGGCAGCAGGTGGATAGCTGTCTACACAGAGGAGCCAGTGGCTCAGCAGCCAGGCCCGCCGCTGGAGCAAACACAGGGCTTTTGGGGAGAAGGGAGCGATGGTGCAGGTGTGGTGTCTGCCAGCCCTGCCTGTAAGGATGGGGTCTTAGGGGGCACCCCAGCCCCTCCCTGACTGCCCCCTGCCCGCAGTCCCCGCCCGTATCGTCAACATCTCCTCGCCGGTGACCGTGAACGAGGGTGGCAACGTGAACCTGCTCTGCTTGGCTGTGGGGCGGCCCGAGCCCACGGTCACTTGGAGACAGCTCCGAGGTGAGCACCCCAGCCTGGGCTCCCCCCGCGGCAGGCAGCCTGGACCCTCCACACTACCACCCGCACACCCCGACCGGATGCCCAGGCTCCTTCCCTTGCTCCCACCCTCCCTTCTTATGACTTCATTCCCTGCCCCAACCCCACCAGCCCCCAGACTCTTCCCCAGTCTCCAGGTTGGGGCCTCTGCTTCTCCCTGACCAGTCCAGGCTTGTGCTCCGTGCCTGGCGCGGTGGGGGGCTGGGAGTCTCCTGAATGGAGGTCTCTAACTGCTAATCCCTAACCAGGCTCCAGCCAGGGCCCAGGCCACACCCCTGCCTCTCCTGGCGGGATGCTCTGGCCCAGCTGTTCTCACAGCAAGTGGCCCTTGCTGGCATGCATATTCTCTGACCTCAGGGCTGCCCTCCGTCAACCCCCAAGACCCCCGGCTCGGGGTTCCTCCCAGGTGTTTCATTTGGGTCTGCAGTACCAGACCGCAGACTCCGGGCTTCCCCTCTCCCCTGAGCGCCCTTCACTCCTACCAGAGCTGAGTCATCACCCCTACCTGATTCCCGGGACCCCCAAGTCCTAAGCCTCCTCCACCCACCCCATCCTCGTTCCACCCGGCTCCTCCGGCCCCCGGGGCTCTCCAGGCCATGCTGTGCCCGCCCCGCTGATGTGTGTCCGTGTTGTGCCCGTGTTGTCCCGTGTTAAGTGTCTGTGTCCGGCCCCGCCTCCCCTCCCCTCGCTCCCCCACAGATGGCTTCACCTCGGAGGGCGAGATCCTGGAGATCTCCGGCATCCAGCGCGGCCAGGCTGGCGAATATGAGTGCGTGACGCACAACGGGGTGAACTCGGCGCCCGACAGCCGCCGCGTGCTGGTCACAGTCAACTGTGAGCCCCCTTCCCCTGCAGGCGGGAGGGCCCCAGGCACGGGGTGGAGGGAGCGCACAGGGCTGGGGGCAAGGCCCCGGAGTTGCCCCTTCCTCCCCGCTTCTCCACCTCCCTGGTCAGCACAGTCCGCTGAGCCTCGCCCTCCGCCAGATCCTCCGACCATCACCGACGTGACGAGCGCGCGCACCGCCCTGGGCCGGGCCGCCCTCCTACGCTGCGAGGCCATGGCGGTGCCACCCGCGGACTTCCAGTGGTACAAGGACGACAGACTGTGAGGACCGCCCCGGGGCCAGCGGGGGGCCGGCGGGCTGCAGGGCGGGCAGCACAGGGAGACGCACGTGGGTCCTGGGGCTGAGAAGGACTGGAGCCGGGGCCCCTTGAGGACAGGGGCTGGGGGCGCGCGGCGGCGGGAGCGCCTCTGGATGCTGTAGCTGGAATCCGAAGCAGGCGTCCCCGCGCGCAGCCAGGCCGGGGCTGGATGGGTGAGGACGGGAGTGGACCCTGCGCTGTGCCCGGCGCCAGGGTCCGGGTCCCTCCCTCCCCGGGCCCACCTCCGACCCTGGTCTTCCGCAGGCTGAGCAGCGGCACAGCCGAGGGCCTGAAGGTGCAAACGGAGCGCACCCGCTCCATGCTTCTCTTCGCCAACGTGAGCGCCCGGCATTATGGCAACTACACGTGTCGCGCCGCCAACCGGCTCGGAGCGTCCAGCGCTTCCATGCGACTCCTACGTGCGTCCGTGCGCTGTGGTGGCGGTCCCGGAGCGTGGGTGGGACCCCCGACAAGGCCCTGTCCCCAGACTGAACCCCGAGTTTAGACCAGAGGCACACACTGAAGTCTCCGGAGGCCTTCCGTGGCGCAGAGCTCCAGCTCCAGGCTGGGAGTTCGGGACGCAGCAGTGTGCCAGAGACCAGAGCTTGTAGCTTAGCAGTGAGGCACCGGCATTTTTGCAACGCTGAGATCTGACGGCCAAAGTGTCCCCGAAGGCCCTGCAAATCCCAGGCGTTTTCAATGCGGGCCTCTTGCCATCTGATTTCGTGTGATCGGTCTCACAGTCTGAAAAATGCCTAAAGCCATGACCAATAGCTGAGAAAAATGACCTTTCGGCCATATGTCCAGCAGGGGCGAATTCGCTGCCAGCCCCCAAGACGGCCCATTTATGTATATGCAGACTTTGCAAAAACCCGAAGCAGGGGGAGAAAAAAGTCCTCTGAGAGGGGGAACTTCTCATCCGGTCCTTATTGCACACCGACTGTGGTCCTGGGAGAGAATGGACAGGCGCAGTTAGAGATGGAAGCTTCTGGATGGAGTTCGCTGGCGGCCAGCCTCTGCATTGGGAAGCAGCTTGGCAGACCTGGGCCTTGAGGCAGCTCCCTTCTCATATCTGTGTTCCCAGATTTTGTTCTTGTGAGAACTGCTGGCGGGCAGGTGGGCTAAGGCCCTTTAAATATCCTGTGGTCTGGTCCTCCCTAGCCAGCCAACCACAGCTGTGACTCAGAATTCAACACATCTACAGCAGGCTACTTAGAAAAAAAAGATGTATTTATTTGAAAGGCAGTGCTATACCAGAGGCAAAAGGAGACAGATCCCACCTGCTGGCTCACACCCCAGGTGGCTGCGGTGGCTGAAGCTGTGAGCCCGGAACTCTGTAGGAGTCTCCCACATTGGTGCAGGCCTCCAAGCACGTGGGCCATCCTCCACTGCTTTTCCTAGGTTCCTTAACAGGGAGTTGGGTGGAAGTGGAGCAGCCAGGACTCGAACCCGTGCTCCTATGGGATGCTGGGGTCATGGGCAGCAGATGCCGGCACCAATAGCAAGCTGAGGTTTTAAGTGGATAATCTTGTGGTTTTAAAACATCCAAGTGGCCCTGGGTATAAAACCAGGTCTCCTTCAAGAGGCCTAGATGCTGGCGGGAGGGCACCCTGCACAGTCTGGGACCTCAAGGGCAGAAGTGCAGCCCGCTGGGCCCAGTGAGTGTCAGCCGAGGGGTCTATGGAGGCGGGCCCAGGACGAATCTGCAAGACGTCAAAGATGGACCAGTGAGAGAGGAGAGAGCCCAGCACCCACCGGACCCCAGGGACACTCGGCACAGCCCCCAGGGGGACACGGTCCCAGGAGCCCTTTTGTGATCCTGTTTCTCTTCCCGCAGGCCCGGGATCCCTGGAGAACTCTGCACCCAGACCCCCGGGGCCCCTGGCTCTGCTCCCGGCCCTGGGCTGGCTGTGGTGGAGGGTGTAGGCACCGAGCAGGGCAGCCCGCCTCCCCTCGGGCAGGGGGCCTCCGGCCAAGTGCGTGGGAGAACCAGGGGGAGCAGCGCCGTGGGTCTCGAGGGGGCAGAAGACCTCTCGGCCATTGAGGAAGAGGAGGAGGAAGAGAGGAAGAGGAAGATCTTTAGAGAACCCATCACTGTGAGGGATAACGCAAAATTATGCATCTTTCTACAGCCATTCTCGCCACCCGTTCACGCTTCCGACTGTGGCCCACCCATCCCCGGGCACCCACACCTCTCCTAGCTCAGGCTGTCCCTGGCTTGTGTGTGAGAGTGTGTGAGTGTGTGTGAGTGTGTGTGTGTGCGTGTGAGAGAGTGGAGGAGGGGCTAGGGCCTCCCTCTCTGGCCACTCCCACATCCCTGCCTCCCACCCTGCTACCTGTCCCCTCTGGCTGGAGGTAGGTATGGGAGCTTCTGCTGGGTGAGGGGGGCTCCCTGCTTTCCCCAGTTTTATGCACGCTGGTCCTTCCCTGTGAAAGGCCCTGGCCTCCTCTGCTGTTGAACTACTTGTAGCCAGGGGCCCCAGCACTGGCTCAGGTGCCTGAGACCCCGCCCTGGCCCCTGCCCCCAGCCTGCCTCCCCTGGACTCTCTGGCTCCTTCTTGGGCCGATCGGTGCTTCCATCCAACAGGCACGCAGGTGACCGCAGCTGCCAGCCTGCCTCAGTGCTCTGCCCTCCCCACCTGCCCCCCAAGCCTGTCACCACCCCCTCTGCCACCTGCAGCACCAGCTGGCTGCCCTGGAGCCCCTGCAGCTGGTCCACAAGAGTGGGTGGGCTTGTCTGCCTCCTGCAGCTTGGGTCTTCCTCCAGGGTGGACCTGCGCGTACACACACACACACACACACACACACACACACACACACACACACACCAGCGACTGTGATCAGCAATAGGCCCCCTGGGCTCCAGCTGTCCTGTGGCCGGTGACTGCCTGGGCGTCCCCGGGGTGGGGTGGAGTGGCTGTTGTCAGACTGGGTGCTGGCTCAGCACACGCCACCCACACACAGTGGGGGAGGAAGTGGCGTCACACAGACAGCCTTGAGCCGTTGGTCACCAGCTCCTGCCAGCACCCAGAGCTTGTGGAGAGGGGGGCCGGGGGCAGGGGCCAATGACTGTACCTCAGACGGGGGCGTGGGCCCCATCCTGCATTGTCTTCCATTCCTAGGGTCCAGGGCTGGGGAGGGGGCGGGGGCGCAGGGGAGGGCGAGGACCCTGGGGGCCGTGTGTTCCGACTCATGGGGAGTGTTGAGACCACCACACCAATAAACGCCTTTTTCCAAAGTCTTCGCCTGCTGGGGTCAGTGTCGTTGATGGCGGGGGTGGGAGGGGGCACGGGCAGGGGTACCTGGGGTCATTCCTTTGCACCCTGGTCTCCCCTTTGATACAGCTGGAAATGACCCTCGCCCAGGAAGTCCCTGGTGGGCTCCAGCCACCGGACACAGCCCATTTCCTGCCATGACTGGTTCAGAGGTAGACAGGTGACTGCTCTCAGGGTGGTGTCCTCCTGGGCAGCGTGGTTCAGGGGCTTCTCCTCCCAGGGAGAGGGCTCGGGGCAGGGGGCCGAGCCTCGGGCATCATCAAGCCTTGTTTTCAGGGGCTCGAAGGGAAAAGACAGCCAGGGTTGATCCAGGACCCGAGTCGGGGGGAGGGCTTCAAGGCAGAAAGCAGGGGGCCGCATCCTTGGCTGTGTGGATCGGCAGCGAGGGCAGCGTCCGGCCAAGGTTGACACAGGCAGCGAGCAGGCAGCTGTGGCTGCAGGAAGCGTCTGGCCGGGCAGCAGGGACCGCTGTGCAAGCGTGTGTGTTGAGTGAATAAATGGCTCCAGTGATGAGGTGCGCCTGCAGGAGACTTCTCTCCTTTACAGCCTACCCCCACCCCTGCTTTGATTATTGATTTGCTTTGGTTAAGGAAGGCTTGACAAAAGCGGTTCTGTTTTTCTTCTTTCACTAGACACAAAGGGACGTCTGCGTGTTGACTAGAGAGGGAGGGAGAGAGAAAGCAATATGTGTATCGGAAAGCAGCTCTGTTCCCGTCCTCTAACTCTGGTTTGTGAAGATGTAAGGAGTGGAGTTACAGCAGCCTTGTTGTCACATGAGGCCATGGGCAAGGCAGGACATGACACAGGATGGTCAGGAGCCCAGCAGGCGACTGGGGTGTGAACCAGGGAAGATCCGTCAGTCTCTGCCTCTTTCTCCTCTTTATAATACAATGAAAATAAATAAATAAAACCTTGTGTTTTTTTTTTTAAAAAAAGGAAGCAGCAGCAGGAAGTCCGGTCCTTGCCCGGCTAACCGGTCTCGGTTGGCCGCCTCCACCTGCCGGCTGCTCGGTCCGGCGCTGAGGTCAGGGCAGGTCTTGGCTTTCCCGAGGCTGTTCAGTTTAGAGTCGAAGCTCAAGGCTGCGTGAGTGAGGAGGCACCTTTGGGTGTGAGGAGGCGTTAGTCCAGGGAGGGTGGACCAAGAGAGGGGCTGGGTTCAGGCATTCTGTGATAGTAATGGCGATCCCGGGGCTCGAGGGCTGAACACTGAGGAAAGAGAATGTTCCAGACTGAACACACGCCAGGACCAAAGGCCGGAAGGAACACTGGAGTCTATGCTGCTCAATGGAGCCATGGCCAGGGCAGTGTCAGGGTGGGAGGAGCCAGGGCAGGGGCGGGGCCATGGTCAGGGCAGGGGCGTGGCCACGGTCAGGGCAGAGTCAGGGTGGGAGGAGCCAGGGCAGGGGCGGGGCCATGGTCAGGGCAGGGCCACGGTCAGGCGGTGGGAGGAGCCAGGGCAGGGGCGGGGCCATGGTCAGGGCAGAGTCAGGGTGGGAGGAGCCAGGGCATGGGCGGGGCCATGGTCAGGGCAGGGGCGTGGCCATGGTCAGGGCCGAGTCAGGGTGGGAGGAGCCAGGGCAGGGGCGGGGCCATGGTCAGGGCAGAGTCAGGGTGGGAGGAGCCATGGCAGGGGCATGGCTGTGGTCAGGGCAGGACCAGGACAGTCAGGGTGCGAGGAGCCATGGCAGGGGCGGGGCCACAGCCAGGGTAGGGTTCTGGCCATGGTCAGTGCAGGGGCGGGGCCACGGCCAAGGCAGGATTGTAGCCATGGTCAGGGCAGGGGTCATGGTCATAGTAGGGGTGGAGCCACAGCCAGGGCAGGGTTGTGGCCATGGTCAGTGTAGGGGTGGGGCCACGGCCAGGGCAGGGTTATGGCCATGGTCAGTGTAGGGGTGGGGCCACGGCCAGGGCAGGGTTGTGGCCATGGTCAGTGCAGGGGTGGGGCCACGGCCAGGGCAGGATTGTAGCCATGGTCAGGGCAGGGGTCATGGTCATAGTAGGGGTGGAGCCACAGCCAGGGCAGGGTTGTGGCCATGGTCAGTGCAGGGGTGGGGCCATGGTTAGGGCAGCGGAGTGTGGCAGGACTAGGCGACGTGGGTCCCGCCTGTCTCAGAGTCCTAGGGGTGTCTCTGGGAGCTGAGCTGCACAAACTTGTCGGCTCATCTTCTGCAAAAGGGGCAGGGAACGGAAGCCCCACTTTGGGGAGTTCAACCTTCCATTGTACAAGTGTCACCCCACAGCTTCCTGTACAGACGAGGCTCGCTCACACCTGCGTGGCTATCCGTACAGCCTTGGGGCCCCTGCCTGGGGAGATGGTTGGCCTGGGGTCCGAGGCCTAGGAGAGAGACAGAGCTACCTAAGAGAGGGGGTGCATGACACCAGGCTCACCCAGACTTTCCAGCTCCAGCCAGAGACTTCCAGAAGTTAGCTGGGCTCCCTCCAGAAAGGAGGGGAAGGGGGAGCTAAGCCACATGACAATTCGACTTTCACCCACCTGGTGGGTCTTGGCTGGGAAAGGGTCCGTGGGCGGGACTTTGGAGGGCAGGGCCCAGGGGGTCTGCAGTGGGGTCACGCTCAGCTGCTGCTTCCCCGGCGGGGAGACCACAGGTGCCAAGGTAGGCGGATGCTTCTTCAGAGTCTTGTCTGAGCACCGGGAAGAAGGGAGACACAGGTCGTGACTGGCTGCGCCCACGCGTCCACCCAGCCAAGCAGCGTCACTTTGATCAGTTGCTAAGGAGGGTGGGGCAGAGGATCCACGGCTGTGCTGACTGGTTCAGCCGCGAGCCACAATCCCTGGGCCCTCCCTGTGCGCCTCACTCACCCCGGAAGCGACACAGGCAGCAGGTGCACAAGATGAGGAGTGCCACCAGCAGGGCCAGGCCCAGCAGGGAGCCCAGCACGATGCCAGCGATGGCCCCGGGGCCCAGGGCTGGACCTGCAGGGAACAAAGGGCGAGAAGGAGGGGTGTGGGGTGGGCAGGCAGGGGCCAGGTTTCCTAAGCCCCCAGCTCAGCCTTCGCTGGGGGCAGACCCAGGACCCCAGGGCCTCCTGCCCCTCTCTGTTCTCTACACAGCTCTCCTTCCGTTTAGTGAGGGCCATGGTGTGCCTGCCTGACATGGGGCCGGGTGGTGGGCAAGGAGGTGGAGCAGGTGCCCCTGGGGTCCATGCATCACTCGCACACGGTGGAATGCTGGGGCAGGGAGCATGCTACCACGCCAACGTGGTGGTTGAAAAACACCAAGGAAGCATCACTGGGTTGGACAGACACCTGTGGGAACAGGGTCCTGGGCGCAGGGAACAGATGAACAGCTGCTCTGAGTACCAGGAGGGAACCCTGGCGGAGGTGCCAACAGCCTCAACTTACTGGCCTGGTAGATCCGGCTCTGGGATGGAGTTCCTGGCTGGGCCCCCAGGGTGGGCAGCACCCGCAAGGCCCACGTGCCAGGGCTCCGGGGAGGGAGGGGCAGCACCGCCGAGCGCTCCCGGGGCCCCAGGAGGAGCAGCGAGATCCAGTCCCTGGAGGCAGCGGCTCTGCCCAGGTCAGGTCCCTCTGGCCGCGCCTGGATCTCAAAGCCGCTGATCACAGCCCCGCGCTCCACGTCCCACGTCAGCACGGCTGCTCCCTGGGCTTGCTGCAACCTCCAGGAAGAGATGGACGGTCCTGGGACATGAAGGAAGAGCAGCTGTGTAAGGGGGAGAAACAGAGCCTGAACCCCTGGGTGTGAGGGAGGAGGGGCTGGACCCCTGGGTGTGAGGGAGGAGGGTCTGGGCTGGACCCCTGGGTGTGAGGGAGGAGGGGCTGGACCCCTGGGTGTGAGGGAGGAGGGCTGGGCTGGACCCCTGGGTGTGAGGGAGGAGGGGCTGGACCCCTGGGTGTGAGGGAGCGGCTGGGACCTGTGACCTGCCCCCTGGAAAGGTGGGGCCTCACCTGTGAGTGTAATCTGGTCGCCCCCTGCGCCCAGCGCCCCGCTGCACAGCACCGAGTAATTCCCCAGGTCCCAGTCCAGGCTGAAGTTGCCGATGAGGAGCTTGCGGGCGTCCTGGCTGAGCCGCAGGCGCCCCCCGCCTCCCGGAGCCAGAGGCCGGCCTTCGCGGGCCCAGGTCGGCCGTGAGGGTGGGGGGCAGCCGGAAGCCTCCAGCGCCACCTCTGCCTCCCCGGACGGTGACCGCTCCACCACGGCGTGCAGCAGCACCTCGCGCGGGGCCTCTGCGGGGCGGAGGGGCGTCCTCGTGGCCATCCTTGCCCCCTCACCCGCCCCGTCGGTCAGGCCAGACCCGCCCCCCTCTCACCCGGGGTGACGGTGCAGGTGCGCGTGGCCACCAGGTGCTGGGCCAGGCAAGTGACGCGGACGCCGCTGAGCCGGGGGTCGGCGGGCACGGCCACCTCGAGCGCAGAGGGCGCCGGCCCCGCGGACACGCCGTCGGGGAGACCCTGGAACCGCAGGGAGGCGGCAGGGACCCCGCCGGGCCACGAGCAGCGGAAGCGGAGGCTGCGGTCCCCGGGGCCGCCTTCCACCGAGCACTGCGGGGACCCGGGGGGCAGATCTGCGGGGCGAAGGGAGAGCCGTGGGGTGGGCGCTGGCCCCGCCGCACCTGCTGCTCCTCCGCCCAGCCCACGCCACGCCCACTCAGCGTGCTGGCCCCGCCCTCAGCCCCGCCCCACCACGCCCACCCCGTCCCCGGCACGCCAACCCCGCCCCCTCGTCCCACCCCAGCCCAGCCACGCCCAGCCAGCGTGCAGGCTCCGCCCTCAGCCCAGCCCAGTCCACGCCCACTCGGCGTGCTGGCCCCGCCCTCAGCCCCGCCCTGTCCGGCCGCGCTGGCTCCACCCAGCCCTCGGCCCCGCCCCGCCCCGCGGCCCCGCCCCCTCACCGGCCACCGTGAGGTTGAGCAGCGAGCGGCGGCGGCGGCCGGTGCGCGGGTTGGCGGCCAGGCAGGCGTAGGCGCCGGCGTGTCCCGGGCGGACGTCGGGCAGCAGCAGGCGCGGCCCGGCGGGCACGGCGGCCTCGGCGGGGTCGGCCAGGCTCCAGGCGATGTCGGCGGGCGGGCGCGAGGGGGCGCTGCAGCGCAGGCTCACGGTGCTGCCGGCCCTGACGAAGCGCGCGGGCGCCGGGTCGCGGTCCGAGGAGACGCTGATGACCGGGGCGTCCGGGCCGTCTGCGGGAGGCGGTGGTCGGGACCCGGCCGGCCGGGGGTCGCCCGTCGCCCTTTGCCCCCCGCCCTTTGCCCCCGGCCGCCCCTCGCCCCCGGCCCCTCGCCCCCGTCCGCCCCTCGCCCCCGGCCCCTCGCCCCCGTCCGCCCCTTGCCCCCAGCCCCTCGCCCCCGCCCCTTGCCCCCAGCCCCTCGCCCCTCGCCCTTTGCCCCCGGCCCCTCGCCCCTCGCCCCTCGCCCCCCGTCCGCCCCCGCCCCTCGCCCCTCGCCCTTTGCCCCCGGCCCCCGGCCCCTCGCCCCCGGCCCTCGCCCCCGCCCCTCTCGCCCCCAGCCCCTCGCCCCTCGCCCTTTGCCCCCGGCCCCTCGCCCCCGGCCCCTCGCCCCCAGCCCCTCGCCCCCGTCCCGCCCCTCGCCCCCGGCCCCCGGCCCTCGCCCCCCGCCCCCGTCCGCGCGCCCCTGACTCACAGTACACGCTGACATTGGCCGCCGCCTGCGCCCGGCCGAAGGGGCTGCGGACGCTGCAGGTGTAGCGGGCCTGGTCGCCGCGCACCGGGCGCACGATGACCAGCTGGTCGCCCAGCGCGCGCACGCGGGCCGGCTCTGCTCCCTCCGGGTCCGCCGCCTCCAGGGCGCGTCCGTCCCGGCTCCAGCTCAGCTCCCCGCGCCCCGGCTGCCACCCCACGCAGCGCAGCCGGAGCTCGGCCGCCCCCTCCTCTGTCTCCGGGGCCGGGGGCTGCACGGACAGCTGGGGCACGGGTTCTAGAAGCGGAGGTGGGACGGTGGCGTCCGACTCAGGCTCCGCTCGGAAGCCGGGCTCCCAACCCCTTCCTCAGTGTGGCCCCCAGTGCACCTGCCTTGGTCACTCCCTCGCCCCAAGCAGGGACCACCCCCTTCCCATCTCGCATACACGCTTACCATACACGCTCACCGTGAACTCCCGGATCTGCACGGGGACCCCAGCCCGGATGACCTCGACTGTGTAGACGCCCGCGTCTTCCAGCCTGGCAGAAGCAAGCTCCAGCCCGCCTGAGATCCGGTCAAATCGCAGCCGGGCGCGGTGGGCAGGGTCCAGACTGCTGGGAGGGGCCTCCGGCCCCAGGGCCCCCGCTGCGAGGGTCTTGGAGCCCCGGCGCCAGACCACCAGAGGGGTGGGGGGCCCGGGGCTGGGGACTGGATCCAGAGGGAACCGGATGGTGGACCCCACCAGCACCGCCAGAGGCCCCTGGGCCTGTTGGGGGAAGCTAGCCTGGGGGTTCCCCAAAGACACCTTGGACTGGGGGTTCAGGACAGAAGAATCAAGGGGGTCCCGGGCAGCTCCTGTGGTGTGAGACACGGGGGCAAAGGGTCTGGGAGCCCGGGTGGTCGTGGAGAAAGGAGCCCCCCGGGGGTGGTCAGCAACCATCTGGGACCCAGGGATGTCGGACCAGACGGCATCTTGGCCCTCGGTGCCCACGTTGGACCACACGGAGCCCGCCATCTGGCTCGAGTTCAGGGCCCCGGCCAGCCAGTCGGAATCCCTGGGCTTGGCACTTCCAGGGGACGGTACTTTTGGATTTGGGGCCTCCATGGGCGGTTTCCAGCTGGAGGCTTTGGTGGATTCCAGCCCCTGGGAGAAGTTGGTTTGTGTGGGTCCTGGAGTGGCTCTGAGGGCGAGGACCCCTCCTCCGGAGGCTGTGGAGGAGAGCAGACAGCCGCGTAGGGGGAGGCTGCTGGGGAGGTGGGCAGGGGGCCAGGGCAGAGGAGGCCAGGCAAGGGGGCTTACCCAGCAGCAGGAGGACCTGCAGAGCCGGCGCTGTGCCCATGCTGCTGGCCGCACCTCCAAGAGGACACTGGAGTGGGACCCGGGGTTTGTGCGGTCCCTCCCGGGCTGGACGAGTCTGACAGGCCTGGTGGCTTAGCTTCCTGGGCGGGGAAGGGAGCCAGGCCCGGCGGGCAGCGGCGGGTGGCGCTGGCACCCCCACCCCGGCTGTCTGCTGGCTGAGCCGCCCACCCCACCCCACTTATCTTCATGACAGGCTCCATGCACGCTCGCCATGCCTAGGGGGAAAATGGGGAGATCCTTCACCCCCGGCAGACCGGGGGGGGGGGGGGCAGGCAAAGCCAGGAAGACTTCCTGGAGGAGGAGGGTGAGGTGACTTTCCCGAGAGACCCCCCCGCCGACGGCTTCCCTCCTGGCCTCCCGAGGTTCCCTGGTGCTTCCAGAACCAAGTCTCCCCACCCAGTCCTCTCTGCACGCCACCTGTGTCCCCTATACTGCCCTCTTCCGTCTGCCAGACCCCTGCTGTGCAGCAGGTGGGAGGGCCGCCCCCTCCCCACTGTCCATCTCTGGATCTACACCCCACGCCCCATCTGCTCCAGGACCTCCCTGCCCACCACTGGCTCGCCAGCGCCCTCTGCAGATGTCCACACCCACCCTCTCCGGCGCTGACCCTTCCACCCTCCTGCCCTCCGTGAGCTGTCTCCCACCTGCCAGCCGGTGCCCAGGCTGCCCTCCCTCCCTGGGATGCTCCTGAGGGCGCCCTGCCCACCTCCACCCTGGCTCAGCCACCACACCTTGTCCTGCAGGTCCTGCCTTATCAAGAAGAAAAATAATAATTACCACTTGGGCTCTGCCAGGGCCCACACTCACCACTTCCTGTGCCTGAGTGGGCTGCGCCCTCCCAAATGCCCTGTGAGGTGGGCTTGGTCACCCTGGCTTTGCAGACCAGGGGATGGGCTCCAAGAGACCACAGGAGCTGACACAGAAATCAGACCTGTGGGTCTGGGGCGGTACCCTAGCAGCTAAAGTCTGCAAGCACTGGGATTCCATTTAGATGCCGGTTCTAATCCCAGCAGCCCTGCTTCCCATCCAGCTCCCTGCCTGTGGGCTGGGAAAGTAGTCAAGGTTGAGCCAAAGCTTTGGGACCCTGCACCCGTGTGGGAGACCTTTACTGCCTTCCCAAGTTAGCAGGGAGCTGGAGTGGAAGTGGAGCAGCTGGGACTTGAACCACGGCACCACTGCAGATGGAGGCTTCACCCACTGCACCACAGACTGGCCTCATGACTTACTCAACACTCGGATGCTTTCGTGGCTGAGGCTCAGTGACTCCAGAGGCCAGGCCAGATGCACCCCCTCCTCGTTCCCCAGGTCCCCCCTCTGTGCAGCGCCTGTGCCCCCAACCCCAGTCCCCTGCGTCCCAAGCACCCACTTCCACACGGAGGCGTCTCAAGTCCGGGGCCTGAACCTGACTCACGGCTCCTCGGCAGGGCCTGTACAGGCCTGGCTCCCACGGGAGATTTAAGTAAATAGCTGTTGAGTGAATCAAACACCGGGCCTCGCGGGAAGAAGGTTAACAGACACGCATGTTGAGAGCGTCACAGTTTTATTGGCGAGTTTCGGGGAGCGGCTCAGATCCGCCCGATCTCCCGCAGCTTGGCCACCAGGTCCTCGGTGGTCTCCACCTTGACGCCGGCCGTGCGCTGCGGAGGGTCCTCCACGCCCAGCACCGACAGCCGCGAGGTCAGGTCCACGCCCAGCTCCCCTGCCTTCAGCACCTCGATCTTCTTCTTCTTGGCTTTCTGCACGGCAAGTCACGGTTCTCAGGGTGGCCTGGGCCCCTCCTGCCCTCCTGATCGCTCCTGCGGGGTGGCCTGGGCCTGCCTGCCCTCCTGACCGCTCCTGCGGGGTGGCCTGGGCCTGCCTGCCCTCCTGATCGTTCCTGCGGGGTGGCCTGGGCCTGCCTGCCCTCCTGACCGCTCCTGCGGGGTGGCCTGGGCCTGCCTGCCCTCCTGATCGTTCCTGCGGGGTGGCCTGGGCCTGCCTGCCCTCCTGACCGCTCCTTCGGGGTGGCCTGGGCTCCGCCTGCCCTCCTGCGGCCTCCTGGACCGCTCCCGCCCAGGCAGCCTTGCAGCCTCACCACCAGCTAGGACGTACAGGCTCTGGGGGGGCATGCCTGGGGGCACGGTTCCTCCTGGGGTGCCAGGTGCGGCAGGGCGCGTGGTAAACCCATCCTTCTGGTGGGAACCACTTGGTGGATGACCCAAGGAACCGTCCCCATTGGCTGGAACGACCCACTGACCGTCCTCCTGACCGTGATGGGGAGCTGTCAGTCAAGAGGCTTCATAAACCCTCCTTAATGAGCCTCTTGATCCAATCAATCCTCTTCATTTGGGCAAGATCCCCCCACGGGCTCTTCCCATTGGCCGCAGTGCACCCAGCGAAGCTTTCTATTGGCTGCAGCGTCTGAGTCCCTCCCTGTCCGCCAGGTCCCACTGGCTGTCTCTCCCCGCTCACCATGATGTTGGGCAGCGTGGCGTAGCGGGGCTCGTTGAGCCTCAGGTCGGCGGTCACCACGGCCGGCAGCTTCAGGCGCAGGGTCTCCAGGCCCCCGTCCACCTCCCGTTCCACCTTCAGCTTGTCCCCCTCCAGCGTCACTTGGGAGGCGAATGTGCCCTGGACGGGAGGGGGCCCGGTGGACCCAGGTCAGACCAGGGCAGCCCCCGGTGGGGGGCCGCTGCGGAGCGCCCACCTGGAGGTCTGAGGGCGGGGATTCAACTGGGTGGGAGCCGCTGGCTGGAATCCAAGGGGCATGTGAACAGACACCCCTGGGCGCCGGCATTGCGGGGCAGCGGGTTAGGCTGCTACTGGTGATGCGGGCATCCAATAAGGGTTCCAGTTCAAGTCCCAGCTGCTCCATTTCCCACCCAGCTTCGTGCCATTGCACCTACTAAAGCAGCAGAAGGAAGAGGAGGGGGAAGATGAGGAGCAGGGGGCCGAGGAGGTGAGTGAGGGGCCCAGGAGGCCTCGGAGGGGACCTTGCTCCAGGAGCTGACAGCAGCGTGTGCAGCAGCCCTGGGGTAAAGCCAGGCTGCAGGGACCCTGGCAGGCGCTCCCTGCTCCAGCCTCACCTGCGGCCAGTCCAGAAGTCCAGCTGTCATCTGTCCCGTCTGGTTGCAGTCGTCATCGATGGCCTGAGGGGAGCGAGTGAGCCGTCAGCACCCACACGGGGCCGGTGCAGCATCCCAGGGCTCGGGCTAGGGAGGGGTCAGCTCGTGTTCTCCACTGCGTCTCGGGGTGGCCGTTCCAGGCCCTGGGAGCCACCCGGCTCACGAGCGCTCAGCCCTGCCTCAGTGGGGGCACCAGCAGCCACAGGGAGCGGGGTGGAGCGTGTGTGAGGCTGTCTTACAGGGCAACGGCTGAGGGCTGCTCGCCCAGAGGGACTCCTCACCCAGGCCAAGTTAAGCGACTGCTCATCCAGAGCCACACGGGGCCTCCTAGCATTCCCGCTGCTGTGATGAACAGAAGGGAGCCGGGATCTCCTGGGGGTTGGATGGGCAGGCTTTGGGCCAGTGGGAACCTCCCAGCCTGCACCCCTGTGATGGCGGCTGGACCCAAGGAGGGGACGAGGCCGTCTGGCCACTGGTGTCATTAGCCTGGAGACGCAGGACACCAAAACAAGCTGGGGGGGCAGGGCCTTGTGTCGCCCATGGGTGACCGTGGGTCAAGCCATGCCTGAAGCTGTTTACATGGGAGCGAGAAGGAGCTTTCTGGGTGAAGCCAGCCTGAGCTGCATCTGACCAGCTCATGCGGCCTCTCTCTCTCTCGGGTGGCAGTCCCCAATAGTGGGACAAGCTGCATATCAGTGAGACCTGCCCTGAGCCCAGGCTTCCAGGGAAGCGGACCCCAGCCCCCGGCCCCCTGCCCCCAGCGCCCAGCCCCCAGCGCCCAGCCCCCAGCACCCAGCCCCCGGCCCCCGGCCCCCAGCACCCAGCCCCCGGCCCCCAGCGCCCAGCCTCCTGCCCCTAGCCCCCGGCCCCCAGCACTGTGTGCGTCCTCTTGTTTCTGGCTGAGCCAGCTGCCCAGGCTCCCCAACCCTCTCCTGTGGGCCCTGCTGCCTGTTCTACCCTGCACCCTAACCTTCTAGCCCAGCCTCCACACCCAACAACCTGACAGGGAGCATGTCATTCCCATTGGCCTCTGGCTTTCTGGTGGCTGGGCTCCTGGGACGGGCTGAGCACCCAGCGGGGACAGGGGCACTGCCTGCTCTCCAGAGTGGACAGGGAGCTCCACATGGCACTTGCCCAGGGCCCACCTGCTTGGCCCTCGGCAGTCCCCCCACGCTCCCCACACACGCGCCAGGGCCAGGTCCAGCCCTCCCCATGGCTCCCGCCCACCTCCCTGCTCTGCCACCTCCTCCAGGCCCCGGCCTTCCCCCACCACGCGCTGCCGTGTGCATCAGGCCACAGCTTCCAAGAACAAGGGACTTTTGTGACCCCAGCGTGACCTGCCCTCCTGGCTCAGACGGCAGTCATGGGTCACTGCAGGGTGACAGCTACTCATCCCCGGGGCCGGGGGCGGGGCCACCCATGCTTGTCATCACACACCCCGTCCCCAGGTCCCCAGAGAGGGCCTGCCACACCCACCTGCTTGCCTAGCAGCACCAAGTCCACCTTCTCCTTCTCGGCCAGCTTGGCCAGGACTCGGGCCACCTGCAGGGGACCCAGGCGATCTGCCTCGGCAGGGGACACCTCCACATGGATGCCGCGGTCAGCGCCCATGGCCAGCGCTGTGCGGATGGTCTCCTGCCAAGGACAGACGGCTTCATCGGGCTTCCTGTCCCAGGAGGGTCGAGGGCAGGCCTCCAGCTGCTCCTCCCTCACACCCAGGGGTCCAGCCCCGCCCACTCCCTGGGCATCGGCCCCACCTGTCCCGCGCACCTGGCACTGTGTGGGCCCGCAGCTCACGGCGATGATCTCCTTCACCAGCTTCTTCTCCTTGAGCCGCACGGCCTCCTCCACGGCGATCTCGCAGAAGGGGTTCATGGAGTGCTTCACGCCATCCGTCACCACGCCCGTCCTGTCCGGCTTCACCCGGATCTGCACGGCCACAGGGAGGGGGCCGCGTCAGGCCGGACAGGCTGCCCGGCGTGGGGAGGGCGCAGGCTTCGCCCTGGGCTGCACAGGGACAGCTCGGAGCGGGACTCCGGAGCTGGGGCCTCTGCAGGGTCAGAGCTCAGCACACATGTCCCGTGGGCTGCGGCCCTCCCACCAGCCTCTCATGGATTCTGGAGCTGCTGAGCAAGGTCACTTTGAGCTGACCGGAGCCTCTCTGTCCAGCAGGTGGCTGGCTGATCCCACGAGAGCGCATGCCAAGGCCCTGGGGTTTGCAGAGTCGAAGGCGGCCCTCATGCCCTCACTCCAAGGCTAGGCTGCTGAGACAGGCATGGCAGGGCCCCCTACAGAGATCCCAACCCCGATGCAGGGCACCTCACCTGGTACAAATGGCTTTGGGACGCATGCGCTCTGGGTGAAGTGGCCATTTAGGGGGACCTTGTGGATGACTAAGGGAGTTATGGTCTGAGTCAGGGAGTGCTCACATGGGGGCTTTGCAGATCTGAGGGAAGAGGCGCATGTGCCAGGCAATGGCAGTTGGCCTCTGGCAGCTGGGAAAGCCAGGAGACATGGTGTGCCCAAGATCAGTCATGTCCAGTCCTGAGGTTCACTTAAGTGGCAAGGATTTGGGGTTCCAAAGCAGCCCACCTGGACCACAGGTACTGCTGGGCCATGATCCCCAGAGCAAGAGGGTGGGGAGCGTGGCAGTGGACCCGCTGTACTTCCAGATCATTCTGGGTTCTTGGTGGAAATGATTAGGAGCCAGGCAGAGGGGGGAAGGGCAGAGAGCCAGCTGGTGGGGGCTCAGGCAGCCGTGATAGGACACGCAGAAGGGCGTGACAGCAGGGGCCTTTAGGCTGCACCTGGCAGGCTGTGGGACAGCGGGAGACCAGGCAGCCAAGGACAGCTCTTGGCCTGGCGGCCTCAAGGTCAAAGGGGCGGGCACAAGGTGACGCCGGCCACATGGGGCTGGGGCAGTGGTGCTGAGCAGCACCCCGAGGTGGCCCAGGGGAGCCGCTGAGCCTGCCCGCTCTTCCCCTGTGGCCGCCCCCGAGGAAGGATGTGGCCAGAGAGAAGCTATAGGCAGCCTGCGTCCCTAGGGCCTGCTGGGACTCCCCCGTCCGGGGCTGAGCGGGGAGGACTGTCCCTGCCTCCCCCTCAGACAGGACACAAATCAGAGCTGGCACGGAGGAGGAAGACACACCTAGGGCACCAGTAGTCACTTCCTGTGGCTGCTAGCTCACTTTTTCTTTAAGACGTATTTATTTTCATTGGAAAGGTGGATTTTACAGAGAGGAGAGACAGAAAGATCTTCCATTCGCTGGTTCACTCCCCAAGTGGCCACAACGGCCAGAGCTGAGCCAATCCAAAGCCAGGAGCTTCTTCTGGGTCTCCCACGTGGGTGCAGGGTCCCAAGGCTTTGGGCAGTCCTTGACTGCTTTCCCAGGTCATAGGCAGGGAGCTGGAACAGCTGGGACTTGAATCGGTGCCCATATGGAATTCTGGCACTTTCAAGGGGAGGATTAGCCAACTGAGCCATCGCACTGGGCCCCTACTATTCTATAAAAAGCTGCTTGCTCTAACACTAAAACTAAGGCTGGGAGCCAGGAAGGAGCAAACTCGCCTTGAAGGGGCGTAAGGGGAGCGACAGGCACGTGCCAAGCGTCTCTGCCTGGCCCAGGCCCATGGGACGCAGGAGGCGGCCTCTGTTGGGCAAGGCACAGCTGCTGCTGCCATCGGAGCCATCCTTCCCGCTTCCCAGCCCTCCCAGCCTCCCTTGCCGGAAAGCTCTTCCCACAACAATGTGGACTGCGCCCTCTGCCCATCCCATGTCCGGCTGTCACCCCTGCCTTGCCACCTGTCTGTCTCCCGCCCCAGAATGCCCACCCCACAGGACAGGGACTCTCCATAGCTCTGCCCAGCCCTGGCTGCTGCATGGAAGGTGGGTAAAGGCGCGACAGACAATCTGCTTGCCATGGGTTCCTTGTTAGAACCTGGCCTGGCATGGCCACTTACTCGCCAGCATGCAAACCTGGCCTGGTGTGGTGGTATAGTATGTCGATCCTCCACCTGCAAGTGCCAGCATCCCATATGGGCGCCGGTTCTAATCCCAGCAGCTCCACTTCCCATCCAGCTCCCTGCTTGTGGCCTGGGAAAGCAGCAGAGCATGGCCCAAAGCCTTGGGACCCTGCACCTGTGTGGGAGACCTGGGAGAGGCTCCTGGCTCCTAGCTTCAGATCGGCGCAGCTCCAGCTGTTGCACTTACTTGGGAAGTGAATCATCGGACAAAAGACCTTCTTCTCTGTCTCTCCTCCTCTTTGTATATCTGACTTTCAAATAAAAATAAATAAACCTAAAAATACAAAGCAGTGGTGGCTGTACACACTGAACTAGGCCATTCGCCACCAAGGACGCGAGGCCTTCAAATGGGAAATGGGTGGTGTAAGAAGAGCGATGGCTTCTGCGCCCGGGCAAGCTTATCTTCCGCTTCTCCGACCCGGGAGGAGTCTGGCAGCATCCCTGGATTCACATTCACCCTTCCCCACTCAGCCTCGGGCCACGCCATGCTGGCTCGCTCACCCCGACAGCCCGCTAGCAGACATTGCAGTGGAGGCCCAGGGAGGCCCCAGGTCAGCGGCATGGCAGGCCAGTGCTCTGTCCCCCCACCTGTCCTGGGAGCCCGAGACCCTCAGGGTCCCCATGTGGCCCCAGGGTTGAAGAGATCATCTCCTGACCGGCTACACACACACACACACTCACACACTGACACACACACTAACACACACTCACTCACACACTGACACACACACTAACACACACTAACACCACACCTGCACCGCCCCTCATGCAGGACACTCCTTACAAAGCAGCTTCTAGCTACATAAGCCCCAGCCCTGTCCTCCAGCGTCCTCTGTCCCCTGAGTCCCTGGCCACGTGCTGGGGCACAGGGCAAGCATGACAACAGCCAAGGTCAGGCTGGGGGCAGGAGATGGTGTGGCCAGCAAATCTTCACTGCTATGGCCACGGCCAGCCAGTGGGCCGGTAGCTGGAGAGACAGGCCTGAGGAGGGGGCACCTGGCTTCCCACACACAGCCCAGTGATGGTGTGTGCCAGCCTGGCACCATGGCTCAACCGACTTACGCTTCCCTACAGGTGCCAGGGTCCCATACGGGTGCCAATTCGTGTCCCAGCTGTTCCACTTCCCATCCAGCTCCCTGCCTGTGACCTGGGAAAGCAGTCAAGGACAGCCCAAAGCCTTGGGACCCTGCACCCACGTGGGAGACCTGGAAGAAGCTCCTGGCTTAAGCTCAGCTCAGCTCCGGCCCTTGCGGTGACTTGGGGAGTGAATCATTAGACAGAAGATCTTCCTCTCTGTGTCTCCTGTAAATCCGACTTTCCACTAAAAATAAATAAATCTTTGATTAAAAAAAAAAAAAGCTAGCATCAACTCCATGGCTGAGACGACCGCACAGCTCAGCGACGTGCAAAGGTGTCCTGGCAGGGAGTGAGCCCAGACAGCGCGGCGCCCACGCCCCCCGTGGTCCCACAGTGCACCTGTTGCCTGAGTCGGCCCTGAATGCGTCACACAAACCCTGCCAATTCCAACAAGGGGAGAGATACAGAAGCAGTGAGGAAGAACCCCACACTGGATTACAGAGCAGCAAGAGAAGGGGGTGGCTGGGGGACACGCCGAGGGCTGTGGGGACACGCTGAGGGCTGTGGGGACACGCCAAGGGCTGTGGGGACACACAGAGGGCTGCAGCTTTAAGCCAGAAAGGCCTCACAGAGGTGAGGGCGTGAGTGCTGTGGGCACTCGCCAGTGCTCAGCCCTGGCTCCCAGCAAGGGCTGTGGGTCTGGGGAGGGCATGTGGTGCCAGGGCATCTGGGCAGGCAGGACCCCAGCCCAGAGGGGCAGTTTCCGTGAAGAAGTGATATTGGATTTGATATAACAGGTGGCTTGGAGCTGGGCAGGCCAGAGGGTGAAAGCAGAGAGGCAGGAGGGGCAGTAGCTGGGGCCCGGCAGGGGCAAAGCAGCCTGCTCCACCAGCAGGTGCAAAGGGTGGTGGTGTGGGTGTCCTGGCAGGGGTGAGGCCGGCCAAAGGGTGGGGCTGCGGGAGGTGAGGAAGGGCAGACACGGTTGAATATCCGGGTTGGCCTGGTGTTCAGGTAGCTGGCAGGGTCTGAATCACTTATTTGTTCCTAAAGGGCCTGGACAGGTCCAGACAGGACGTCCCAGGGGCAGGAGCCGAGGGGATGGGGCCTGCCCTTCCCCCTCTGCTCTCTGCTGGGCCAGGCTCTGTGTCGGTCAGAGTCCAACAAGCTAAGGGGGCAAGAAAATGACCCTAGATACCCCAGGCAGGGGCGGAGGGGGCCCAGGGGCGGAGGGGGCCCAGGGGCGGAGGGGAGCCCAGGGGTGGAGGGAGGCCCAGGGGCAGAGGGGGCCCAGGGGCGGAGGGGGGCCCAGGGGCGGAGGGGGGCCCAGGGGCGGAGGAAGGCCAGGGGCAGAGGGGGCCCAGGGGCGGAGGGGGGCCCAGGGGCAGAGGGGGCCCAGGGGCGGAGGGGGGCCCAGGGGTGGAGGGAGGCCAGGGGCAGAGGGGGCCCAGGGGCGGAGGGGGGCCCAGGGGCGGAGGGGGGCCCAGGGGTGGAGGGGGGCCAGGGGTGGAGGGAGGCCAGGGGCAGAGGGGGCCCAGGGGTGGAGGGGGGCCCAGGGGTGGAGGGGCGCCCAGGGGCGGAGGGGGGCCAGGGACAGAGGGGGGCCCAGGGGCAGAGGGGGCCCAGGGGCGGAGGGGAGCCCAGGGGTGGAGGGAGGCCAGGGGCGGAGGGGGGTCAGGGGCGGAGGGGGCCCAGGGGCGGAGGGGGCCCAGGGGCTGGAGGGGGGTCAGGGGCAGAGGGGGGCCCAGGGGCTGGAGGAGCTCCCAAGGTGGGGGGAGGAAGTGGTAGGGCTGACTTCTGGGAACAATCGGAGATGAGAGGAGACCTGGAGAGTGGAGGTCCTGTGACTGCCAGAGCAGCACGAGGCACCTGCTGGTCAGCACTGCTGCCCGAGGAGTGCAGATGGGACCAACACCGGGTGTGGGGTTCCGGTCCACCTGCTGTGTGTGTGTGTGAGAGGCCCCCTTCTCTGCCTTCCGGCTTCCAAGCCTGGGTCTCCGGCTGTTGCCCAACTCCTGGCCCCCCATTCCTGCAGGGGTGACTCTGAGCCCGCTCCTGGCCCCCCATTCCTGCAGGGGTGACTCTGAACCACACCTCCTCCAGCCCCCTGACCTAGCTGAGGGTCAGGGTTCAAGGTGGACCCCTTGAACTTTCACCTTGCTTCCCAGACACCGCGGGAAGACGTTCTCAGGGTCGGGGGCCCGGGGCGCTCTGACCGTCAGAACCTGACAGCTGTGACTTTGCCGGGGTCAGAGGTCACGGGAAGACCCCCCCCAACACACACACGGCGTGGCGTTCGGGGTGCCGGAAGCTCGCGGCCGCAGGCTCCCCCGCAGGTGGGAATGGTGGTGGGGAGGGCCCGGTCACCTTCACAGCGAAGTCGATGACCCTCTTGACAGCCACGAGCGCGCGCAGCTCCGCCATCTTCCCGCAGCAGCGCCCCGCGGCCGCGTCCGTCAGCGCCCGACGCCCCGCCCCCGCGCCGCCCTGCGCCTGCGTGCCCGCGCCGCCTGCCACTCCGCGGCTCCTCCGCCCAATCAGGAGGCCGCGAGGCCGAGCGCGGGGGTGTGGCCAGCGGAGGCGGACCAATGATGGAGCTGAGTGGGCGGGGCGGAAAAGTTGTTGCCGCTGGGGGGCGTGGCGGGGAACTAGGGGAAAGGTCGTGCGGGGGAGGGCCGCGGGGTCCCCCAAACTCTCGCCCTGCGGGGTCCTCCACGCCCGTGTCCTTGCTCCCCCAGAAAAGCACGCGGAGCCGCGCGGCTGCAGTCTGTGCCTTTATTCTGCACCAGGCAGGCCGCGCTCACAGGCACACCGGGAAGCTGCTGATGGCGTCCGTGCTTTGCACGATCATGTCTGCCAGCAGGAAGCAGAGGCCTGGCGGGGTGGGGACGGAGGGCGGGTGAGCAAGGTGGGAGCCGGGAGGGAGGCCGGGCGCGCCCCGGGGACTGGGACCTGGGTCCAGGGAGTCGGGGAGGGACAGAGGAGTGCTGGTGCTGGGGGCAGGGGGAGGGCAGGTGCAGCGAGGTGGGTGCTGGACGGCCAAGTACGCCCCGGGGCTGGGACCTGGGTCCAGGGAGTCGGGGAGGAACTGAGGGGTGCTGGGATTTGGGGGTAGGGAGAGGGAAGGGTGTGGGGGTGTGTGGGCGAGGGACAGGGGCCTGCAGGTGGTCTGGGGGCAGGGGCGTCCCCTGGACAGGGTCCACCCTCTTCCTCCTGCCCTGGTTACCCGCCAGAATAGAGAAGGGTAAAGCCAGCCACCCCGAAAAATAGGACCAGGAGAAGAAGACGTTGTTTTTCCAGGCGTTCTTCACTGTGTACCCTGTCAAGGCGATCAGCAACAGCAGCCCTGGGACCGGCCGACCCGCACCTCCAGGTGAGTGGGTACCTTCCCTGGGCCACGCCCAGGCCACGCCCCCAGCCGCACACAGGCCACGCCTACCGGGCCATGCCCTTCCACAGCCCTGCCGCCCCAAGCCCCACCTCCAGGGCCCCGCCCACCCAGCCTCATCCCAGTCACTTGGCCACACCCACACCCGCCCCTTCCTCAGCTGTCAGGCCCCGCCCACCCCTCCTTGGCCCCGCCCACCCCCGTTGGCCCAGCCCTGCCCCCTGGAGGTCGCCCTCCTCCCGGGACCCCCAGATCTCCCCCATCTCCCCTGGCCATCCCGGGGAGCCCGGCGCCCTCTCACCGACGAGGAAGAGGCATGCGCACACTTGCTGGCCCCGCAGCGACTCGTCCTGCTGGCACAGAATCCGCAGCCCCATCACCGTGGCCAAGACGCCAAAGCCGGTGGCCAGCACCATGCATGCCCCAGTCATAGCCAGCATGGCTGGGGAGACCAGGCCGCGTCAGCCCCCAGCCCTTGGCCACCGGGAGCCCTGCGGGGTGCTGCCACCCCATCCCACTGCAGTAGGGGACCCCACGCGTGGACGGGCTTGGAGGGCCTTGAGCCCCAGTGGGCTCATGTGGGGCTGCCCGTGTGCGGCCACGGGGGCGCTCACTCTGGCACGGGGTGTTGGAGCAGGTGCCTTGGCTACACTCCTGCCACAGGCCGCTGTGGCCGCCATGGTAGCGGATCCAGTAGTTGCTGCTGGTGGACAGCACCTTGAGGATGTTGGCCAAGAAGCTGAGGAAGGTGCCGCCCGTCTGAAGGCTGTGTTTCACGCCCATGCCACGCAGCCTGCGGCAGGGGCCACACGGCAGGACTGGCCTCCGCTCCCGGCTCCCCGAACCCGGCTGCCCCCTCCCCTGGAGTGCCCAGAGGCCTGGCCCGCCCCGAAAGCACTCACAGCACCCAGCTTCCCAGGCCCTGGCAGACACAGAGCCCAGAGAGGCAGCGGGGGGAGGGGGCAGGAGGTCGGGGTCTCTGTGAGGCAGCCAGGGTTCCAGAACCCCCTTCCCAGGGACCCCTTAAAGGGACACCCCCTCTCTTACACTCACACACACACACACACACACACACACACCGGCAGCTCTTTTAACAGAGGTTACATCACAGGCCTCACAGTTAGACCTGGTGCTTCTAGATGCTTCTCTTTCCCTGAGCTCTTCTGGTCCTGGGCTTTCCTGTGGCTGTTACCCTGGCCCTGTCACAGGGGAGCCCACCTCGCCCCTCCTGCAGCCCCCGGCCCCTGACATCCAGCCACACCCCATCTGGCCGGCAGGTCCAGACCCCTTGCAACTCTGCATGTCCCATTCCTTTCGCTCACGCAATGCAGCTGTCTTCTTTGTGCCCACCCCGTTTCCCTCTGCCCGCTGTGGCCAACCCTCAGCTTCCTAGGCCCACCCCAGAGCTGGCGCTGTCCCTCCCCGGGGTCACAGTGATCATGCAAGAGCCAGATTCCAAACCAATCTTTGTTGAATGAAGGAAAGAATATGCAAGGGCGCTGGAGAAAGGCTGGGAGAGGGGTGGGGGTGGAGGTGAGTCCAGGCCTCAGAGACTCCAAACTCGCCCGCTGTTCTCACAGTCCTTCATAACCGGCCCGGCGGCTGTTGCAGTGTGCAGTCAGACTCAGGGCACCTGGGGTGCCAGGGAGCAGTCAGAGTGGGTGGTGCCCCCACCCCCATCCTTGCCTCCCATCCTGCCCTCCTGGCCCCCATCCTTGCCTCCCATCCTGCTCTCCTGGCCCCCATCCTTGCCTCCCATCCTGCTCTCCTGGCCCCCATCCTTGCCTCCCTTCCCCCCATCCTGCCCTCCTGGCCCCCGCATGGCCTCCAACGCCCCCCCCTCCTGAGCTCCCCAGGGATGCAGAGCCGTAAGAGTCACCTGCACAGAGGAAGAGGATGGGCGAGACCCAACCCAGGTAGAAGGACCAGGAGAAGAAGGTCTGGACCTGGGGGTGCGGGACCTGGTCCCACCGCTCGCTGGTGTACACCGCCATGGCCACGATCATACACAGGACTGCGGGCGAGAGACGTTCAGCAGGTGCCCTGGCGCTCGCTGCCTCCTGCTGCCCAGCCCAGCCCCCCTCCTCACCGGCAGCGAAGGATGTGATGGTGGATACCAGGGGACCGTTGCCCGGGGCCGACAGTGAGACGATATAAGATAGCGCCAGGAACACCGCAGCCACCAGGGCAAACAGGGCAGCCAGGATGCTGAAGGCCTGTGTCACGTGGATGTAGTCTGGCAAGAGACGAGACTGAGAGCTGTTCTGCCACCCCCTCCCCAGAACAGCCCACTCCTCCTCACCTACCTGCCACTGGGACCCCAGCCACTTGGGGCCAGAGCCCCGTGTGAAACAAGAAACCCGGCCCCTTGGCCACGAACCAGTGATCGGTGCTCAGAGCCACCAGGGTCGACAGCAAGCCCAGGCAGCCAGTCAGCAGGGCGAGGCTGCGGTGGGGTTCCATGGAGCCAGCTGCGAGGAGTCTTCCAAGCTCCAGACAGCGCGAGCAGTGGGCAGCAGGGCCTGCTGGGAGTCCTTGCACCCCACCCAGCGAGGAATGCTTGGTTTCACACAGTTCCCGGCAGAGGACTCTTCACACACTCCCCCTTCCTGAGTTGCACAGACAACGGTCCAATCCCCCCGTTAGCCAGGGTAACGGAGGGCCCGGGGCGGGGTTGTCTGCACCTCCGTGGTTTAGGTGTGGTTTAGCGCTTGCCTCTCTGTCGCAGGTTCTGTAAGTCCTACCGGTGGAACCCTCAGCACCCCAGAGGGCTTCCTGGAAGCGGTGAGACCAGTGGCGGATGGCCAATCAGGCCCTGGGCAGGAGTGGGCCGGGGAGGGGCGAAGTGGCCACAGGGGGACAGTTGGGGATGTGTCATGCTTTCCTGTGGTTCTGTAACTTTTCATCTTCACCTCTGGGGTCTCTACCAAAGGAAGGGGCTGGTTAAGGGGGAATGGTGTACGTGTCACAACTTCAGGTCTTGAGGAAGGAAGGGTTGGGCCGGTGCGGAGCTAAGACCCCTGGGTTTCCCAGTTGGAGCTTACGTACAGGATGGACAAGTGCTGCTAACATTTCTGAAAGGGTTCTGGAGAGGAAGCACTTGCCCCATGTCCTCAGTGAGTTTGGAAGCAGCTGTGCTTGGGCTGGCTTCCCCGCACCCACCAGGATCTGGGCAATGGCAGCCCAGTGGCAGGAGGGTCTCAAGGGTGCCAGGAAGGGACCCTTGGTGCTCCCAGCACCAGGACTTGGATGGGGTCTCAACTGTGAGCAGGTGCAAGGGGAAGGTGTGCCACGACCCAGGTGGAAGGACCGGGCTAAGGTGAGTTTCAGAGAGAGGGGTTCCTATGGGAGCATTCACCATGCCAGCCTGACCCAGGCCAGCCCAAAGCAGCCCCATAGCCCGATCCTTTCCCTTAGGGGAGACCCACGAGTGGCAGCCCCCAGCAAGGACACTGGCTGCTCCCAGGAACATGTTCACAGAGTCGAAGTCCCTGATGCCAGCAGCACAGACGGGAGCACAGACAGTCTGGGTCAGGGACCCCCATGAGCAGCAGCAATTGGCCCGACCTCGGGGTGTCTGGCCAGGTGAGTGGTGAGCAGGGTCCACCTTGGCTAGGACCCCATGGTGAGCCAGTCCTAGCCCCAAGCCTGCTCCACCCCTCACTTAACCCTACTCTCTTCGGACAAGGAAACTGCTGCCAGTCCCATCTCTGAGCCTAGCTCCAACCCCTAATGAAACCCCAGTCCTGCTCAGATGTAACTGCAAACTCAATGCCGTGCCCATCCCATCAGCACACTCCCTGTCTACACCATCCTACGCTGTAACGACTACAAGCTCAGTACCGCCTCACACCTAAACCCAACACCATCCTTACCCCCGGCTCCAAACCCTAGTTGATCCCCATGCCTACCCTCAAATCCAACACCATTCCCAAACCCAACCCCTCTCCATCTTTACTCCAGCTGCCACCCCGTGCCAAACCCAGTCTCCATCCCCAAACTTAGCCCTATTCTCAACCCTTCTCCAGCTCCAGTCCCATACTCACTGCCTCATTCATTCCACCCTCTAGTTCCTGGCCCACTTTTATCACCTCTTGTCCAGTCTATGTCCCCACATGGGCCTGCACCTGAACATGCACATGGAGCTGTTGATGGCTGACCACGGGCCCAGGTGCTTGATGCCCCTGGACTGCACACCCCACACAGCAGGGGTGGACCGTGACACCAAGCTGAGCTGCTGGGGCCTGCGAGCTGGAGGTGCCTGGTGTGTCCTTGTCGGCTCCCCTGGGACATGTGCTCCGGTTCCTCTGGGGAGCATTGCCTGAAGGGTATGCCCCCTTGTCATCGACACTGCCCTAGGCCTTGGTCTGCTCCGTCTCTGCCAGTCTTACCCCAGCAGTGTTGGTGTTTGGACTTGCCTGAAACCCCCTGCTCCTTTCTGCTGTCCCTTCTACCCTCCCCCAGTCCAAAGCATCCCCAGCAGCCCTAGGTGTCACGGGACACCCACAGCATGACTACCTGGGGAGGGGGGCTCTTGTGAGCCTCTGCCTGACCCCAGGGCCCACCCTGACTACTCCCCAAACTGAGTCCTTCTACTGGTGCTACAGTGCCCACTGTCCCAGGGCTGCACCCCCTAGTCTGGGACTCTTCCCAATGCCCATCGCACCTAGGGCTTCCAGGATTCCCCTTGTCCCTTCTCCCACCATCCCCATGCTCTTGGACCTCAGCGATCTTAAGACAGGGCTTGGGGTTCTGGCCACATGGCACATGGCAGCTAGGATTGTTGGTCTCAGTGAACCTACATTCTATTAAAAACATGGATCCCCCAAAATAAAATAGAGCAGCAGCTGTGAGGTTGGCATCCCATAGGAATGCCAGCTGTGAGGTTGGCATCCCATTAGAAGATCAGCTGTGAGGTTGGCATCCCATAAGAACAGCAGCTTGAGCCCAGCTGCTCCACTTCTGATCCAAAATTCCCTGCTCATGTACTTGGGATGGCCCGAGTGCTTAGCCCCTGGACCCACGTGGGAGACCCGGCTGGAGTTTCAGGCTCCTGGCTTTGGCCTGGCCCAGTCCCAGCGGCTGGAGCCAATCAAGGAGTGAACCAGCAGATGGAAGATCTCTGTCTCTCGCCCTCTAATAACACTGCCTTCCCAATAAATACACAGTTATGGCGACCACCACCGCACTTATGGGCCCCACTCTATTAATGACGTTGAATGTGGCCTACCATCATGGTAAAATGACAGTGATTCCCAAACTCTAACATTACAACACATCCCAACACATACGAATCGGCCTGCGTGAATACTCAATGTTCTCCCAATGCTCTGTTGAGTGGAGATCGGGTCCTTGGTGCTGTCTTACTGAAAGCTGGAGAGGAAAAGGCTTCCAAAAGCAGACACACACACACACACAAAAAAAACAACTCATCGCCCTGGCCCCAGCCGCCCACAGGGCCCCCCGCCTTGCTGCCACCTTCCCGCCCAAGTAGCCTTTGCAGCAAGGCCAGCAAGCAGCCCCGTAGAAGGATCGGGCCGTTGTCCAGCCCCTGGACAGGGGACTTCTAAGCCCTTGGAAGGACTTACCTGCTAAGAGCTTTCTGCTGACCACACCAGGTAGTCTATGCCTGATTTATGCAGGGGTGGGAGTGGCCATACTCTGCGCATCTCACCACTGGAGGGGCTGCAGCCTGAGCGACCAGGGTCAGCAGGTGATGTGTGTTTGTGAGACGAATCACAATGCAAACCCTGGATGCTTAGTCCCAGGGGACCATCTCTAGTGACATGATGACTCCATTACACTGTAGCTGTCTGCCCCACTCCAGGGAGAGGGGACAGCTGGAAGTTCCCCAAGGTTACCCCAACTCTGTCCCGTTTGCTGATCTTTTAAAGGATGTATTTACTTATCTGATCGGCAGAGTTAGAGACAGAGAAAGATCTGTCTGCTGGTTTGCTGCCCAAGTGGCCACAATGGCTGGAACTGGGCCAAGCTCAAGCCAGGAGCTTCTCCTGGGTCTCCCTAGTGGGGGTGGGGGCAGGGGCCCAAGTACTTGAGCCACCTTTTGTGCTAGAAGGAAGCTGGATCAGAAGTGGAATAGCTGACGCTTAAGCTGGTACCTATGTATGATGCCAGCGGCAGAGGTGAAGCCTGCCTGTGACACACAGTGCCCACCCCTAACTTGTTCATTTTCAAGCTGTGTCCTTTCACGCAGGAAAGAGGAGGCCGAGTTCCCCCAGTTGCTAACCTATCTCCCCAGAAAGGCACTGGCCTGTGCCTCAGGACCCAGTCCCCCGGATCCACATACCTCCCTCAAGGCTCCTCACTCCAGCAATCAGATATCAATATGAGTTGAGGACGAGACAAATAGGGGCCAGTACGGTTGATGCCAGTTCGTATCCCGGCGGCCCCACTTCCTTCCAGCTCCTTGCTTGTGGCCTCAGTAGGCAGCCGAGGATGGTCCAAGGCCTGGAGGAAGCTATTAGCTCTCAATTTTGGATCAGCTCAACTGTAGCTGTTGAGATCATTTGGAGAGTGAAGCAACAGAGAGAAAACCATTTTTTGTGTGTGTAAAATTTGCCTTTCAAATAAAAATATCCAAGCTATAGTAGAAATTCTTGCTTGGTGGAATTTCGCTCCTGGCTTGGAATGGATGTACCGGAGGGCGTGGAGCAGAGAAGGGTCACAGCTTGAATCCTGTTTTAATAAAACTCAAGCTGGACACTGTTGAGGAATATTCTATAGGGAGCTGGGGAAGGTGAGGACAGAAGTAAGGTGGAGAGTTCGGAGGCTGTGGCAGTGACTTATGAGGGAGATGAAGGTTATGGCTCGGACCAGGGGGCTGACTGCGGCTGAGCCAGAAGCAGACACAGCCGATGCTAGCTGCTGACAGAGGTCGGGAGTGGCAGGAGCCGAGAAGCCCAATGTCCTTGGCTTTGGCAGCTGGATAAAGTTGGGCTTGTCTTTTTGTGAGATGGGGAGACCGTGGGAGGAGTACTGGGTGTGTATCGGGGGAGTGGGCAGCGATCAAGAGCTCAGAAACTTATTTTTAGACCCATGACATTTGAGGTGCCTGGTCTCGAGTGGAAAAGTTGAGTGAGTAACGAGATGAGTGGAATGACAACAGCAGGATTATTCGTATCAGAATCAGTGCCTGCAAACATGACTGCGGTAAGCCTTGGAGAACACGTCTACTTCCATTGTGCTAGTCATCACTTTGGGGGGCAGTGGGAGAGGGGTGTATACGGCTTCTTTATTTCCATTTCCTCGGGGCTGCCCTGCGGTTAACTCCTGGGCAGGCACCGCGTGACTTGCCTCCATCCCCATCCCCACCGAACCTTGAGCAATGTGGGCCATCCCACACCCACCACCGTTTCCCCCTACCCTAACCACTCAACGCTTTGTAAGAGTTTCACATCATGTTTATTAGACCCCAAAAAGTTCCTCTAAAGGATACCGCACATCTCTAGCGACCTGCCTGGTGGGATGAGGTGGGACGGGGGCTTGGGTGTCCTCCCCACACTCCAGCCAGGTCCTATCCTTCCTCCTTCCCCCACCGTGGGGACCCAGGAGCCAACCACCGTGCCCGGTGCCCAGGCTCCAGCCCCATCACGCTCCCAGAAACCAAGATCTCAGGTCTCTAGACGCCCTCCTTTTCAGCGACTTCATTTTGAGTTCTGGGAGAAGCTGGGGGGACACACGCGGGCTCAGCGGGGTGTGGACAGGCGCCGGCACTGATGCATCCGGTAGGCACACACGTAGAAGATTCCTGCGTGAGAATGGATCCCAGGCGATACTGCTCCCACCCCCCGGATTCCGCAACACTGTGCTGGCTTTCAGCTTGGCTGTCTCACAGCCCATGGACACCTCATGTATGGAATCTGCATTCAACCTCCCTGTGGTCCGTGTGGGCACCCCCTGCCCCCGGCCCAGCCATTCCATCCTCCCAAGCCCTCCTGTGCATGGCACTGCCTTTCCCACCCCTGGGCCCCCCGGTACCTGCGAAGAAGGTCATGAGCAAGGCCACCCAGCCCAGAATGTAGGACCAGGAGAAGCGCCAGTCCCCAAAGCGACGGCCGAGGAAGCTGACCGTGACACCGGTGTAAATGGCCAAGCCCAACAGGACAAAGAGGGCTGGGGAGAGAGGGCGGGAGGAAGTGGGTGGGTGACCAGAGCTGGGGAGAGAGGGAAGGAGGAAGTGGATGGGGGACCAGGGCTGGGGCTGGGTGTGGAGAGTGAGGGTAGAGAAGGGAGTTGAGGTGGGTTGGGGGCAGGGGAGGATAAGGAGGGGGTTGGGTTGAAAGTGGGATGGGGATGGGGTGGGGATGTGTTGTACTATGAAGAATGTGGTGGTTGTCACCTAGTTTCATGTAAGGAGCATCCCTATCACTCACGGGCCAATGGGTGATGCCTCTGGTCTCTAGCAAGACCGGTGACGTGATGAGAGGGGAGGGTGTGTGTTGGTGGGTGTGCCGCAGGGGTGCTGTGGGCCGCCTGGCACCAGTTCTGTCTCAGAAGGGAGCTGGAGAGCGAGCTTCATTACTGGCCAGTGCTGCAGTTGACCAGGCTCACACGATGCCAGGCCAGTGAAGCCCTGGGTGCTGAAGCTCAGTGGGGGCTTCCTGGCCTGGGACCCCCGCAGGAGGGTAGCATCTGACCACAAGGAGAGAGGATTGTCCTTGTTTGCCTGACCTCGAGTCACGTCCTGTTGTGCTCAAGCTGAGGCTGTAAGAAAGAGAGCTTCCAGCAAGTGTTTGATCCTGACTGGTCCTGGGAGCCTCTAAGCTGCGGAGCCAGTTGGTCAACGGGGCAGTGACACGGATAGACTGCTTGTTTTGCGGGGAGGGGTGGGCTCACTGGGGGCTGTGCCCTGGAGGCTGTGTGGTCCACCCCTAATTCTGGGGGTAGGTGGTGTTAGTGTAGGGTGGAGACAGGAATAGTCCAGGCTGAGGCCTATGGTTGCGATAGGGTTGGACAGAGGAAGAGGAGGGGTGGGGGTGAGAGGGGTTGGGGACAGGAAGGAAGAGTAGACAGAGTGGGGTCACTGAGGGCATGGATGGGGTGGGGAATGGGAATGAGGAAGATTGAGAGTTGGGGTGTGGCGGCATGGAGAGGACAGGGAGATGGGGCAAGGAGAGGGGTTGGGGTGGCGTCATCACTCACTGGAGGCAAAAAACATGATGCCAGCCGAGAAGGGCCGGGAGAGGCGGGTGAAGGCGGACTGCTGCGCGAAGGCCAGGACGCCCATGATGATGCCCGCGGTGGCACACAGGGCAGACAGGATCATGAAGGCCCGGGTGGCGTTCCAGTATGCTGCAGGGGGACCCCACGGTCACACCCAGGCCTCCTCCACTGCCAGTGCGCAGGGCAGGAAGGGTCACCATGAGCCTGAGGACCACCTCCTCCTTCTCTCCATCTCCTCCACTTCTTTGCAAATGCCGTCTGCTTCCCCTACAAACTCGTCCTCACCCTGCAAAGCCCAGCTCCCGAGACACCTCCTCCCTCTGCCCTGTTTCAAGCAGGCCGCTGTTCAGAGCCCAGCTGTTGGCATGGCTATGGAGGTGGGGCATGCAAAATTGGAATTTTTTTTTCTTTTTCTGAAAGAGCTGCACATCCGGAGGTGTATGTAAAAGTCTCTCCCGACCTTTTAAATCCTGGCCAAGACTTTAGAGGTGCTGAAATGCCATGCAAAGCAATCAGCCACACGCACCACTGTGGTCTGTGCTCTGGAAACCAAGCTAAGAGCTTCTGACTTACTCAGCTGCTGGGCCAGGGCAGGCCCGTCCACTGCCCCATGCCTCAGTTTACCCCTTCAATAAAGAGGCATCACCTTGTCCCTCAGGGTTGGCTCAATGACACGAAGCAGGTGCCTGTGATTGTCACGGAGCTCAGGGTGGGGTGGGGCTTCTCCCGTCCCTCATCAGGAGAACGGGGGTCAAGTCTTGTTCATGCAAACCGTTGGCTCGCCCTCTTAGCTGAGTGACACAGAGACGTGTCCGTTCCGCCGCAGTGCTGAGTGCCGCGCGGGGCACGCAGCAGGCCCCCGGGAGAGGCTCATCCTGCTGCTGGAAGCAGTAACCTATCACTAGCATGGATTTACTAACATGTTAGATGACAGCACTTCAACAAGCTTGTGGGAAAATGGATCGGAAGAGCAGTTGGTTTGAGGCAAACAGCTGTTGACGTTCGTGCATTTTTTAAATGAGTTTTTTGTTTCAGATTTCTATTTATTTATCTATTTATGAACGAACTGGAAAGGCAGGTATACAGAGAGGAGGAAAGACAGAAAGGAAGATTTTCCATCTGCTGATTCACTCCCCAAGCAGCTGCAATGGCTGGAGCTGGCCAATCCGAAGCCTGGAGCTTCTTCTTGGTCTCCCACATGGGTAGGTTTATGGGCTGCCCCTGACTGCTTTCCCAGGCCACAAGCAGGGAGCTGGATGGGAAGTGGAGCTGTCAGGATTAGAACCGGTGCCTATATGGGATCCTGGCACGTGCAAGGCGAGGACTCCAGCCACTAGGCTACCGTGTAGGTCCCTTTTCATTAGTTTTTGAAGAGTTTTTCCACGAAGTTTTTGAATAGTCCTTAGTTACTCTAGCATGTAAAAGTATATTCCATAGGATCCATGCATTATAGGATATATATATATTTAGTATATATTATGTCTCACAGAAGTATATACAATATGTCACATTGTTTCACATTGAAAGGTACGATGTACCCTTCATGTCCTAACTGTATTTACTTACATTCTCACACAGTGAATTATATACAATGTTACCGAGCTGCTGTGCCTGATACATGTTATCTAATGTACTCTGTGTGTGCTCACGGCTTTCTAAAGCTTCCTGTCTCTGAATCCCCATGGCCCACAAGCACCACGCTGTGCCCCCCTACAGGCTGGCTCCCCCAGGCAAGGCAGGTGACAGCTCCGCCCAAGACTTCTCCCAACCCCCGCAGGAGAACAGCTTTCTGAGGCGAAACCTGCTTTGCGGGAATGTAAACATCTGTAGATCTAAGGCATGGGTGGCTGGATGCATGGCAGGTGGTCAAATCGCATCCTGCCCAAGATTTTGGCACGTGTAGGGTCTCCGCCTGGCTTCTGCATGCCATGGTGGCTAACAGCTGTCAGAAAATGCCAGGCTGGCAGCGCTCTCGGTTCAGCCTGCCGTGCCTGAAACTTTCCTGAGTCAGGAAATGCCACCTCCTGCAGCAGCTGAGCCCAGGGCCACCGCTCATGGTCTCTGTAGTTACGGAACACCCGGAGGGAGCGGCACCGTCCCCCGGCAGGTTAAGCTGCTGTCTGTAACACGAGCATTCTACAAGGACATAGGTCCGAGTCCTGGCTGCTCCACTCCTGACCCAGCTCCCAGCTACTGGGCCTGGGAAAGCAGCCGATAGCCCACATGCTTGGGTCCTGCCACCTACATGAGAGACCTGGAAGAAGTGCTTTGTTCCCAGCTGTGGCGATGGTGGCCGTATGGGGAGTGAGCCCAAGATCCCAATTCCGGCTCTGTCCCCTCCCTGCTGAGTGGCCTTGGGCTGGTCCCTTCCACTCTCTGTGCTGCAGAGCTGTGAGGCTCTGCCCTGGGGGACCTATCCCCTCTTCCAGCAGCCCCACACCCCTGCCAGCCCAGCTCACCGATGCTCTCCGTTTGCAGGAAGCACTTGCTGCCCAAGCAGTACCTCCACAGGCCCTGGTGGGCAAAGGACCCTGACAGCCGGTACTGCATCCAGTGGTCTGTCGCTGTGGCCACCACCAGCAGGATGGTCCCCACCCAGGCACAGAACAGGCCTCCGCCCAGGAAGCTGTACATGGCGATCTGCGGGCAAGGGGAACCAGGAGGAGGCGCTGCTGAAGGCAAGGTGGTGGGATGTGAGTTACCAGGGCCCTGGAGGTAGAGATCTGGGTCCTGGGGTGCAAAGGCTTGGGGCCTGGACCCTTGAGTGTGAGGCAGGAGGGGCTGGGATCTTGGACTTCTGAGAGTGAGGTAGGAGGGGCTGAGGGTCTGGACCCTTGGGTGTGAGGGAGGAGGGGCTGGGCTGAACCTGGATTCCTGGGTCTGAGGGAAAAGGGACTGGGGTTACCCCTGGGAGCCAGACACTTGGGGCCCTGGGAGAAGAGGGTCTGGGGGTTGGGACACCACATCCCAGCAAGAGGCAGGAAAGCACCTGTCCCCTAGGGCCTTGGGGAGGGACCAGCTGCGGATCCCGGACCCAATGCCTACCTGTGCGGCGGAGCCTGCTCCAAGCCCTCCTTCTGCCTCGGCCTCTCTGTGCAGACTGAGTTGGCCCAGCTCGAGGGGCCTCCCTGGCCCTGCAGCGCACCCCCACCCCAATCCCTTAAGCCTTCCCACACAATGGCTCGGCCATCCAGCAGCTTCCAGCGGGCAGAACTGCAGCCGTGGCAAAGGGCCCCCGAATGCAATCTGCTGAGGCAGGGATCCAGGGGCTCCCACCCTGCCACCCCCTCCTGGCCCCACTGGCCACCCTCTGTGAGCTCCCCTCTTCCCACAGGCCTTGCTCACAGCAGCCGGCTGCCTAACTGAACACACGCAAGAGACAGACAAGGCACACATTTATTCTCAACCAAGGCCTCCCCTTTGGGGAAGCAGAAACAGGGCAGGGGGTGGGGCTACAGGTGTGTGTGTGCTCCTGTGGGGTGACAGGGGGGTGAGGATGGAGGCGGGGCGGGGGCTGAGGTGGGAAAGCAGGTGAAGCAGACTTTAGGCTTGTGCTGAGTTAGGAATGAGCATGGAGAGGGCGTCCAGGCGGACGGGAACGGTGACCGAGGCCAGGCTCTCCCAGAGCCCCAGGTGGGCTGGGCCTGGGGTGTCCAGGAGGAGGGTGGAGCTTGTGAATGGGGAACCCGGGGTACAGACGGGGTGGGAATGCCCAGGACGTGGTTAGGGACCAAAGAGACAGATGTGGGTGAGGTTCCGGCCTTTTCAGATTTCTGAGCCAAGTCCAGGGTCCACCAGGGAAACTTCCAGGACTTGCCCCTAAGGCGGGGGTGGGGATGACAACAGGGTCTTTCCGGGGACTTCTCTCACAAGGCTAGGGTCACTCCTGGCTTCAGGGGAACCCCCTCATCAGCTGACGGGGGGCAGGGGCTGGGTACCAGGCCTCCCGGGGCCTAGTATTCAGTTTCCCAGTCTTCAGCAGTTGGGGGCGTCTCAGGAGGGGGCTCCAGGCCTCGTGTTTTCTTCCCATCCTGGGTGGGCAGTGGCGGTGTTGTCGGTCGGGTCTTGGGACCAGCCCCAGGCCTCCCCGGCCAGCCTCTCTCGGGCTGCTCAGCCCTCCCTGAGCCCCATCGCTGCTGACTCTGGCCCTGACCTGGCCCCGGGCCCGGGCCCTGGCCTCGGCCTGGCCTGCGCCATGCTTCCCACCCACCGCGGCCCCGGGGTGGCCTCTTGGCCATGCTGGGTTGGGTGCAGCAGTCCTGGGCCGAGCATGGGCAGGCAGGCATAGACTGCTGGAGGCTGTAAGCCCCGAGGAGGGCACTGTGCAGCAGGTAGGAGAGGGCGTCGAGGCGGATGGGCACGGTGACCGAGGCCAGGCTCTCAGGGAGCCCCAGGTGGGCTGGGTCTGGGGTGCCCAGGAGTGAGGCTGGGAGGACTGGGAAGGGTGCAGCAGCACATGACCCGGTCTCCGACGGCAGGGGCAGGTTGCTCCTAGGACAAGACGACGGGTCTGAGGATCTTACAGACTCAGCATTTTCCTGCTGCTGGGTTACCTGTGCACCTGCCCACGGCCCCCTGACTTCTTACCTTCCCCTCTGCACCAGCCCCGCTGTGCACCTCAGCATATCAGAGGGCATCCGGCTGCCCCCTTACGCTAGGGGCTCAATTCTTTGACTTTGGGGGAAGCTTAATTCTTCACATCAAAACCAGCTTTGGTCAGTGCCAGGACAAGGGCTGGGTGTGGCCAGGGCTCTGACCACAGGGGCTCCGGTGGTGTGGCCTCCTCCACGTCTGTGCCCTGGGCATCCAAAGCTGTTCTCGGAGTTCTCCATCTGAAGCATTCGTTTCTCTTTCTCTAAGCCCAGGGTTAGCTCTGTCCCTTCAAACCCTCTAAGACCTGGCTTCTCTGCCATCCTACCCGGACCCCTCCCCGCCTCAGTTCTCGGCCACCCTGGAGCAGGGGGGAGCTGTGGGTTGGCCTCCCTAGCTGCGCCTCCGCGCCCTCTCTCGGGGTGTCGTGGAGGGTCTCTCTGTTTCTCACCTGTCCGACTCAGTCTCGCCCTTTGGTTGTTCCATCCTCACCAGGGAGTCTCCAGCGTCTTCCAGCAGGTTCCACGGCCCAGGGCCTTGGTGGAATGGCGGCAGGCGTGGGCGTTGTTCCCGGAGCGCAGAGCGCGCAGAGTGTCGCCCCAAGCCGGGTCTACTTACTCAACGCCCAGCACCCCAAGAGGCAGACTCCTCCGCTTTGGGCCTCAGGGGGACCGAGTCCCCGGCTCGTTCCAGCTGACCTAGCAGCACAAGCCCTCGTCTCCTCCCTCGGCCCCTACAATCCCGCAGCCTTCTTCATAGCTGGGGAAACCCACAACCCATCTCTTTCTCAGGCCCCAGGAATCCTGGGTCCCCGATTGTCCCCCATACCCCACTACTGCCTGGTCCTCCGAGCTTGTTCTTCAGCCATAAAGGGATAGTCAGGAGGGGGAATGTGGGTCCCTGGACATGGCAGGAAAGTTGCGAAAATCATGTAGTGGATCCTGTGAATTCCTCACCACGTTCCCCCCAGTATTGTCATTGTCCCCGGTCCTGTGATGGAAGCCCACACTTCCTCTGCCATGGAGTCCCTCGTGCCCCTGGACTCTGGGCTCCCACACTGCATGTCTGCAGGCTTCTCCCACCTGCAGCCCTGCTGTCTTTCCTTGAGGGTATTAGGGCAGCGATAGGGGTTTCTCTTTTAAGAATAAATTTATTTTATTTTTGATGATTACATACTTGAGAAGGATACAGGCCCATGTGGACTGCTGATCAGGGTGGGAAGGGTTGAGGGATGGAGGGAAACGGATGAGGAGACACTTGTTTCCATTTTTTTTTTTTCTTTCTGTATCTGGAGAAGAGGGGAGAGGAGAGGGCTGCTCCCAGCAGCCTAACTGCACCAGGGGATGGGAGACGGCCACTCAGTGTCACCCCAGGGTCCCTGATGTGGAGCATGTTCTGAGTTCAGCACTCGAGCGGTTTCTGGGATTCTGTTGATCTTGCTGCTCCAAGGGTGAGGAAGTCCTGCCAAGGTCCATTGGCTGGCGGTCCTTCTCAGAGTGTCCACTTGGCAGAGACGTTCCTCAAAGCTTGGTCCAATGTCTGCCCTCCATGGCAGTCAACGTCCTGGGCAGGCCTCCAGGAGCTGTCACAGCCGATGGGGGTCTCTTCTAGTGAATACCACCGACCCAGTTTAGCCTTCAGCTCGTGTGTGACTCAGCCGGACCTCAGAGGGGGTAACTGGTCCAAGGTCACGGAGCAGGTAAGTGGCACGGCTGGGATTCAAACCCAAGCAACTGAGCTTGAAAGTCTGTGTTTTCAGTGGAGGCCCAAGTGCAATGGGCTTATGCATCTTAATTGTAAGGTTTACTGGGTGGGGTGGGTAAAGTGGGGAGTGAAAGGGAGTCCCTATGCCTGTGGGATTGTATCATGAAAAATTAAAAAAAAAGAAAGAATGTTAAGGCTTGTTTGAAAAGCAGAGCTAAAGAGAGAAAGGGAGAAAGTTTCTATCCTTTGCTTTATTCCTCAGATGGCTGCAACGGCCAGAGCTGAGCTGATCCCAAACCAGGAGCCAGGGGCCTCTTCCGGCTCTCCCACATGCGTCCCAAGGACATCAGCCCTCCTCCACTGCTTTCCCAGGCCACAGCAGGGAGCTGGATGGGAAGTGGAGCAGCTTGGAACTCAAAGGCAGGGTACCCAGGCAGGGTGTGTTGGCCCTTATCTGTGTCTTTAACGAGGCAAACGCTGCCTTAACAGAACATACGGACCAGGTGGGGTTAACTTTTTTTTTGGGGGGGGGGGAATCTCACGGCACCTCCACTTAGAATGCAACCTCATGTGGTCATCAAGGCACTCTGTCTTCCACAGCGCAGGCGCATCAAGGGCAGTGAGTGCCCATGTCCGTGGGGGAGGGAACCAGTGGAGTTGACAGACTGGGTGGTGGAAGTGGCCACTTGGGGAGCGAATTAACAAACGGAGGACCTTCCTCTCTGTTTCTCCTTCTCTCTGTAAATCTGCCTTCCAATAAAAACAATCAACTTTAAACAATTCGGCATAACTTATGTAGGTGCAAACACTTGTGAATTTTCTTGGGAGAAATTCATGATGTTCTGTTTAAATAATACTTTATTTGAAAGGCAGAGTTAGATCTTCCGGCTGGTCGCCATGACCCGTGCTGGGCCAGTCAGGACACAGAACTTCGTCCCCGTTTCCTCATGGGTGCAGGGGTTCGAGCCCTGACCATCCTCCTGGCCGCTGTGAGGTTCTAGAAAAGTCCGGGAGTGACCTTGACCGTGGCCTTGTGATGCTTCCGGAGTCCGCGTCCTCACGAGACAGCACCGTCCCGGCAGGACGGATGACCTTCCCTGCTGTCCATCAGGCAGCCGACGCCCGGTGCCGGCCTCTCTCCGCCGGCCGCACCGCACTCCATCGCATCAGGAAGAGCTGAACGCATCACCAAGGAAACGCTTCCGGGATATAGGCAGGGCCGTTCTGGAAAAGGACCAATCAACTTCCGCGTCTTGGGGGACGTGCGTCGACCCCGCCCATTCCTTGCTAACATTCCGCGTTCTGATTGGCGGGCGGGCGAGCGCGCGTTACCGTCCCGTTTCCGGAAGACAAGGGGTCGTTTCCCAGTCCTGCCCTGAGCTAGCAACCTCGCTCTGGATTGGCTGCAGCGGCCTCGCCCTCGTGCCCTAATTGGCTCTCACCTTTTCGCGCACTTTCTTGAGCTCTTTTTCTGCCCGGGTCTTTGTCTGCAGCGGCTGAGGTTCCCCCTCCACCTATTCTTCCCCGTAGACTCCCGAGATCTCCTTTCGACCACCAGCCTGGTCTTCACGCCCGCCGCTCACCCCTGAGTCGGGATCCACCCTCTCTTCTCCCCTCCTCCTGTGTGTGCAGGGGCCTCACCCCGCGGCAGAGGTCACTGACCTGTAGGATCGAACAGACCTTCATTCTCCACCCACTACTGTCTCCCCAGGGGACTGCAGAGGCTTGGGGTGGGGAGGCCGGGGTCCCGCCGTTTCCTCTGGTCCTGCATCAAAAATGGCACGATAAATCAGGTAGTTGAGACACAATGCTAAAGTGTTGCTCGCAGGACTGGGTGCCCCAGGTGGGGACGATGGCTGACTGCGGGTCCTGGGGAGGGCGTATTCGTCCACGGAGGGTGTGGCTTGGAAGGCCCACACACATAGGAAATGACCGAATTACACCGTGACCCACCCTTCGATTCTGTAATGGCTTCCTGGTACACTTGGTAGCTCACATCTAAGTTTCTCATCCATTCATGATTTCCTCTAACTTTTTGAATTTCCTCTTAATTTTTTTCATGTCATCAGCTAGGGTCCACTGTTTGTTCTTCTGAAGTTTGTCATGAAAGGCACAGATCTGAGGGGTATGAATGAATAATTCTAGCCTGTTGAAATATTGGACACTGTTACTCAACCCCCAGGAAATTCCCTCTTATTCCTTCCCCATGAATGCCCCCCCACCCCCGCACCCGCCTCTCTCCACAGGCAACCCAGTTCATGGTTTTTTTTCTGTCCTGATTTTATTTCCACAAAACTTGTGCTTGAGTCAGACTTTGGAAGTTGTAAGGATTTTCCATGCAGAGACCCCCCCCCCCCCTTTTTTTTTTCAGGCACAGGAGTATTTGTGAGGTCAGGAAAGAGGCCTTGAAATTTGGGCAAAAAAAGTTCAAATTGGGCAATAGTCAGAGGTGGGGTTGTAGGATTGCTGTTTCTTCATAAGGAACACTGATTTTGTCCATTGTCTTTTCTTTCCTCAAAATGTGTTCGAAAGGCTGAGTTACAGAGACAAAAAAGCCTTTGATCTGCCGGTTTGCTGCCCCAATGATGGGCTGGGCCAGACTGAGCCAGATTCCTGGAACTCCCTCTGGGTCTGCCACGTGGGTGGCAGGGGACTCAAAGCTCTTCGGCCATGTTCTGCTGCGTTTCCGTGTGTATTAATGGGGAGCTAGGTTGGCCGCAGAGCAGCAGATTCAGCCTGAAGTTATATGGGATGCTGGTGTCACAGGCGGCAGCTTAACCCGTTGCACTGCAATGCTGGCCCCCTGTAGGAAATTTGAATGAGGACAGGAGGGGTGCTGTCACCAGGCTTTCCTGCGTTGGAGGCTGGCTCAGTCTGCGCTGCTCTGATGGGATTCCTACAGAGATGTGTCTCTCCCACCCTCCTCGGGTATGTCCGGGAGGTGGGCATCTCCGCTGGGGTCTTCCCTGCTGTGCCCCCCGCCCCAGAGTTCTTTCTTAATTCTGTTCATAACAGTTCCGATCTTGCCACCTGAAGTCCCCATCGACAAGCCCTGGTATTGTGGGGTAGGAGTTCAGCAGGGCTTAAGGGGCGTGGAAGCATTGGGTACCCAGGGGGTTGCAGGGTGTGTAGGGTGCCATGGAGGTAGCTCGGCTTTAGCTGTTCCTCTAGGAGGGTAGCAAGAGGGTGTGTGGCATGTGCCAGCTGGTGGCATTGGAGAAGGGACCCAGGCACAGTGCCCACGGGCAGGCACATGGGAGTTGAGACGATCTCAGTGGACCTCTCTGAGTCCTTGGGTTTTTGCTGTGCAAGAGAGCCTGTCTTGGACACTGGGCCAGCTCGTTGAGGGCTGGGGAGGAGCTTCAGCCAGCAGAGATCTCGGCTACGGCCAGTTAGATCAAGGGTCTCGCTCCGCTGTGTTGTCCCTTCTCCAAGCCTCACTGCTTTGAGAAATGAAACCAATGAACCACAAATAGAGAGAGAAAGAAGTTGATCTCAGAGCCACATGGTCCTTGTCCATTGGAAGGTCCAGTCCTACTGGATGGGAGGAGGAGTGATGGGATTTAAGTTGAGTTAGAGGTTAGGCTGCATTTCCGTTCTTCTCTTTCCCCTCTCCTCCCCTCTCCTGTTTTTTTCCCCCAGTATTTTATTGAGAGCCAGGTGTGCCCTCACAAACACCAGGATCCCATATGGGCACTGGCTTGTATCCCGGTTGCTCTACTTCCCATCATCCAGCTCCCTACCTGTGGCCTGGAAAAGCAGTGGAGGACGGCCCAAAGCCTTGGGACCCTGCACCCACATGGGAGACCTGGAAAATGCTCTTGGCTCCTGGCTTTGGATCAACTAAGACCCAACTGTTGCAGCCATTTTGGGAGTGAACAAGCCAATGAAAGATATTTGTCTCTCCTTTCTGTTAATATGACTTTCCAATAAAAAATAACAAATCTCTAAAAAATATTTTATTGAAAGGCAGATTAATCCTCAGGGCCGGCCAGAGAGCGGCAGGATGTCTGAGGGACAGTGTTAAGGGACGAGGGAAAGAAAAGTGTGTGGCAGAGAAGAGTGGACTAGGAGACCCGCACCGTTTAGCATTTGCACTTCCTGGAGTGAGCAGCCTGCAGGCACGCTGGTGTGTACAGAGTTCCCGCTCTGCTTGGCACTGCTTTTCCTGGGTGCTGGGTCCCAGTGTCCCAGCATCCTTCCTCTTTCCCTCCGACTCCTGAGTCACTACCGCAGGACTCGCCACCCCGACGGGTGATTTTCAGTTACCCCTGGCCAAACGGGCCGTCCTGGCGACCCCGCCTGGCAGTTCCCAAGGGTCACGCAGACCTCTAAAGCTTGCTACCGTGGCTGGATTTGGCAACACAGGGCAGGGCAGGACCAGCGTATCTCTCAGTCCTCACAAGGCTTCTGGAGAGTTCCTGATTTTTGCACGTGGCTCATCCAACGCCTTCTGGCTCCAAGTGAACCCGGGGGTGCTACAGTGCTGTCTGTTCCAAGGCCTTGGGCTGGATCCCAGCCATTGGCTGTGTCGCCGTCAGCCCTTCTAGGGGACAGGGAGGTTGTGCTGGGTGACCTCACACCACAAGACTTGTTTCCTGGCAGCTAGGGTCAGTTCCTTAGCCCAATCAGAAGGAAGCGGGGCCAGCCACTGACCTGTTGTGCAATCTGCCACAGTGGCCGGACGAAGGCCCCTCTGGTGAAGGAGCAAGAGGAGCCCAGGAGAGCAGAGGAGGCACAGCACACAGCAGCTCCGTGCTTTGCAGCCTGCCCTCCCTGCTCTCCACACCTCGTACATCCTTTGCACCTGCTACAAGCCGAGAAAGCGCCAGGAGTTGGAATTGCGACTTACCGATCCTAAGATCTGGATCTTGATAATACCATCTGTCCTTGTGAGTGAAAGCAGGACATCTCTTTACCCACCTAGGGACCAGCTGTGAGGTGCTGACAGAAAGTGGCAGGCATTCGTGGCTCACTCACGCAGCATCCCCGGCACCTGGGGCCATCTTGGGGTTACCATGCCGAATACAATGCAAACACTGCCCCTGACACCGTGCCGTCCTCTGTAAGTCGTCACCACACTCTGTTGCTTAAAGAGTGATGGCAGGAAGATAAAGTTAGGACCGACGTGGCTTCTGGCCAGTTGGTGGATGAGAGATTTGCTAAGATGTTCCAGGTGCTTGCCTGGGTATGAATGGGGTGACGTGTTCTCGGGGGGACTGAGAGAGAGTGCAAGAGAGACACTGGGCCTTTGCACCCCCTTTATTGGAGTCCCCGTTCTAAAGCCCATGAGCTCCTCAGTGGAACTTGACTTCTGCATAATCCACATAGGCATCTTCAGACTTCGAGGTGTCCCGGGGCCTGAAGCCAGGGAAGTTGAGTGCGGCGTAGTGTAGTTCCTCCTGGCAGCTCTCAGATACAGCGTGCAGGCCCTTTGGGTTCTTCTTGTGTTCCTGGGAGAGGGCAGCCGTACCTGGAGCCGGGTCCTGGGGAGGGCTGCTGGGTCTGCCCTTGTGATTCCGAGCCTGGGTGGTGGTGAGGAGGGAAAATCACTCGTGCTTGCTGAGCCTGAATCCCGCCCTCACTGAGCCAGCATCTGCAGCAACGGGACCAGCAGCAAAGGCAAACACTGCAGTAATGCGTTGCTGATTAAAAGCCACGAGGAAACAGCGGTGAGCTCTGCTGATAGTCCAGCCAGACGTTGCGTGGCCGTGACAACGAGGAGTTCCCCCTGCAGCAGCGCCAAGACGTGACATACGACATACGGGCTCCAGGAGAGAAGGCTCGGCTACCCCAGACACAGTGGCGGCATCCTAGCTCCTGCGGCTACACCGAGCCAGCGGGAGGTCCCAGCATGAAGTGAAGTCACCTAGATTCGGGGTCTCTGCCGCCTCATCTCGCTCTGAGGCAGATGAAGTGGGGGCGGCAGGGAGACAGTGGCTCCCAGAGGTTAGGACACCATCACAGCATCATTATCACCCCATCACAGGAAGTGGCCGCTGACATCGCCCCACAGGGCAAGAAGCGCCTAGAACAAGCTAGGAAGCAGGTGCCGCTCCCTGCCCCGCTTGCGCACCGCTGCGGCTCCAGCCAGGACGCCCCGCTTCCACTCACCTTGGGGACCACGTTGATGTACTCCAGGAAGGTGCTGCGCCGCGTCACCTTCGCCCTCGAACCCTCCGCCAGGGTCGGTTTTCTCCTGAGCGTCTTCACGCTGTGGGGGAATGAGCGAGCCCCACCTCGGTGTCCACTGACTGCTCTGCCCGTTCCCCGACAACCCCGAGGGACCCCGGCATGCGAGCAAGTGCCACCCCGAACTCACATGATCAGGATGAGGCAGAGGAAGAGGAGGGTGGTGACGCCGACTCCCAGGCACACTCCTTTGGAGAACACGGTGGGTGCGAAGCCCCCTTCATCTGCAAGGAAGGGAAAAGTGTGGGGTCTGCTCAGGCCCCTTCCCCACCAGGCAGCTCCCCTGGCCGCCCGCCGAAGGCTCAGCCCGCTGCACCCAGTGACCTTCAATCCCTCTGCTTTCTCTCTACCCAGGCTCCTGTCCTGCCCAGCTCCAGCCCCAGCTCCGCCCTCTGGACATCAGTGGGCAGGGGGCCCACACCTGGCAGCCGCAGCAGCAGGACCTGCGCGCTCCGGCCCCCGTGGACATTCCAGACCTCGCAGCTGAGCCTGAGGCCAGGGCCGAGCTCCCCGCGGAGGCTCAGGGAGCTGTTGGCCCAGCGCCCTGCAGAGCTGGAGGTGACCATGAAGGAGGTAGCACTGCTGTTCCCGCTGCTGTTCCCCTCCAGCAGCTGCTCCTCGAGCCGCCAGCGCAGGGACGGGGCTGGCTGGGCCTGGGAGGAGCATTTGCAGTGCAGACCCTGGGCCTCCCAGGAGCAGGAGGGGCCCGGCAGCCACGGGGGGTCTGAGAGGAGGGGAGAGGGGTGCTAGGAGAGGGTCAACCAGTGCCCTCCCCTCCGCAGGACCCAGCTGTCCGCTTCCTACTCACAGTGCACAGCTAGGTACAGAGAGAGGCGCTGGGCACCCAGCTTGTTCCAAGCCAGGCAGCTGAATTCTCCTTCGTGCTCTGGCTGCACCTGCGGCAGCTCCAAGACCCCCGGCTCTGAGGGTGGCGGGATGCTCTGGGCCTGCGTGCCCCAGGTCCAGCTCAGCACGGCTGGGGGACTGCTGTGGGCTGCACAGGCCAGGCGCAGGGGCCGTCCCTGCAGGACGGGGAGGACCGAGCCGTTCCGGAGGTTATCCATGACTGAGGAATGGAATAGGCAGGATGGGTGATTGATCAGTCCATCAGCAGAGCAGCTGCCCACCCCCTGCGGGTGGCCCCCAGCTGGGCAGCAGGCCCCCTCTCCCACCTGTGCTGTTTCCTTGGGCAAGCGTTGCAGTCAGGTTTTCTGGAGGGTCTGGAAGGAGACGGAGAGCAGCTGCAGGGGGGCAGGGACCCCCACAGGGCACAGGACCCGGACTGACGGGGTAGGGGAGGGGTTAGCCACCTGCAGGGTCCCAGGCCATCCAGGCCCAGGCCACACTTACAGTTCACAGCCAGGTCCAGGCTACGTTGACTCGAACCCCATCTGTTCTCAGCCCGGCAGGTGTAGCGCCCTGAATCCCCAGGCTTCAGCACCGGCAGTTCCAGTGCCAGGGACGTGGGGCTCGAGGGTTCAGACCTAGTCAGCTCTCTGTCCCACAGGCGCCAGGCCAGCGAGGCGGGGCGCTGGCTAGCGGCAGTGCAGACAAGCCGTAGGTACTGGCCTCGCTGGGTTTCCAGCTGAGTGGTGCCTTCCTGGGGCTCCAGGGCTGCTGTGGTGGGGAAGGCGGCTAGACGGAGACAGAGAGGGGGTGGGGGAGGGAAGAAGGGGGAGGGGAGACAGGGAGGACAAGTTAAGAGGAGCTCACCCCCCACTCACTGAAGTTTATTTACACAACCCCAGTCCACCCCCCTCACCCCCCAAAATAGAGGACTGGCCCAGCCACACCCTCGTAATACCATACCTGATGTCTTGTCCCAAGAAAAGCTGATGGCTGGGTCTCTGGGGGCAGCTGCAACAAGATGGCGAGCTCACTTCAGGGAGTTTCTTTGTTTTAAACAAAGATTGTTTCATTGATTTGAAAGGCAGATGGACAGAGAGTCCTGGTTCCTCACTCCCTAGGTGGCCGCAGTGCAGGGAGCCTGGAATCCATTCTCTGTGCTCCATAAGGATGGCAGGCACCCAGACACTTCCCAGGAGCCTCAGCAGGGAGCCCGAGTGGAAGGGAAGTCAGGACCCGAACCAGCACCTCCCTGATGGGATGCAGGAGCCCCAAAGCTGTGGCATCACATTCTATGCTGGGGTGGGGGGTGCTTGGTTCCCCACCACAGGAAAGAACTCCCTTAGGAAAAGGAAAGGAGGCCTCCTGAGGAGGACAGCCTGGGAGTGGGCCGAGAGCCTGGGGCATGCCCATCGCCTGCAGGGCACTCACCACCCAGGCGGAGGCGGACGCTCTCGTGGGTGCTCCTGGCCGATAGAGGGAAGTCCACTCGGCATGTGAGTTCGGTGTCCTGGTCCTGGAGCCTGGGGCTGAAGCTGAGCACTGAGTAGTGGGTGCTCCACAGCTGGGTCCCCTGGGTGGTCACGGCAGCCCCCATCCAGGAGAAAGTAGGGGCTGGACACAGCTCAGAGGTCAGGTTAAACACGCAGAAGGCTTTCACTGGCCGCCCGGGCTCCAGCTCCTCGGGGATGAAGATGTCCGGCTTCTGAGTCAGGGCTGGGGGACAGGAGGCACATCCAGTACCCGGGTTGCCCCTGTGAGAGCCCCCTGCCCCGCCCCCATGGCCCGGGAGCCCGGCCCCTCCCCCATGCTGGCCCCTCCCCCATGCGATACACCGGTCCCCACCACGTTGCACACCTGTCACCTCCAGCCAGGGCCATTGCTTGAAATTATATTTCACTTTGTCTCCCCTCTCCAGCCGGAAGACATACAAGCCCATGTCTTCCATCCGGGCATCTCTGAGCAACAGGGAGCAGTTGTTCTTGCTGGGGTCACCCACGAGCAGGAACCGGCCCCGGGCAGATTCCTGCACCTCTCGGTCTGGATGGTTTGTGGCCACTGGAGTGCCCTTGAGCGTGTCAGTGTGTTTCGTGAACCAGTAGCCATAGGCCGGGGTGGTGTCCGTCCAGCCGTCCTTGGGGTACTCGATGGAGCAGGGCAAGAAGACACACAGGCCCTCCTGCACCTTCACGTGGCTCGGCACCTGCACCTTGTACAGCCAGTCCTGAGCCCGAGACCCTGTGGGCACACGGACACTCAGCCCCAGCCCAGCCAGGACCCCATGGGCACACGGAGGCTCAGCCCCAACCAGCACACCATGGGCACACAGAAGCTCAGACCTAACCTCAACCAGAACCCCCTGGAGGCTCAGCCCCAGCCAGGACCCTGTGGGCACAAGGAGGCTCGGCCGCAGCCCAGCCAGGACCCTGTGGGCACACAGGGCTCAGCCTCAGCCCAGCTGGACCCAGGTCCCCCGCAGGCTGCTGACCCACCTACCGTCTGATATCAGGGACAGCAGCAAAGGCAGCAGCATCATGGCCTAGCGAGGTGCCAGACGAAGCAGGTGCATTCCCCAGCTGGGCGGCCAGCCGCTGCTCGGTGCTGTGCAGATGGGGAAGCCGAGGGCGGATGTTGAGCCCTGGGGACTGAGGCACACAGGAGCTTCTCCCCCAGACTGTGGGACCCTCTTCCCCTTTGTGCCTGCCTCGCCCAGCCGGTCCCTCGGTGGCTTCTCTGTCTTTCTTAGTGGGGCAGGGTGCTGCTGGCTGGGCTTGGGGCTGGTGGGGCAGCTCTTGTCCCAGACACCTCAGGGGGAGAGCAGGGGAGGGGTGTCTGCGTCTGGCCCCCTGGGGAAGCTGTGGGTGGATCCGGGAGGTGGGGACTCTCCCTCTGGGTCCTGGTCATTGAGGAAGCAGAAGTGAAAGTTCTCATAGGGGATTCGTGGTGGAGGTGGAGGTGGAGGAGGGTTCACGGAGGGAGAGCTCTTGGCTGCTGGAGTGCAGGACGCCCGGTCAGGGATGGACAGAAGGGCGGCCTGCCTCGCTCTCTTTGGTCTGAGTCGGCCCCAGACACTACACAGATGGACATGCACAATAAGAAAAAACGGTTTTTCAGTTCCAAATTTAAAGGCATCCAGACATTTTGCATGTTGGTTCTAAATCTGGCACCCCTAGGCTGGTCTCCGCCCACTTCTTCATCCTCCCTGTGAGCACATGACCCTGTGCCCTCCAGAAGCCCCGTCCTGCCCCTCGGGTGTCTGTCCTGCCTCCCTGCCCACATCTGTCCATCACATCCTAGGGGACAACACTGGCTCGTGAGGTGTGCACCTGGCCCCGGGGTGGACACTGCTGGCCGGAGCTCCGGGCAGTGGAGAGGACACAGCTGGGTGGGGGCGGAGTAAGAGCTGCCAGCTGTTGTCTTCTTACCCGTCCCCTTCAGCCCCCCAGAACAGCTCTGTCCGGCGGCACCCTGGGTTGTCCTGCCAACCCCACACAGGGCCTGAAGTGGGCTAGGCACCCCAGTGCCCATAGGGGACCTTCTCCAGCGCCCCAGATGCTGAGACAGACATTCTCAAGGGAACCCCAGTTCCTTCTGGCTGACAGAAGCCAGGACGGGTGGCCTTCTGCTGACCGGCCTCCATGCTGCCCTGGCCCTCACACTCTCTGTATTGATTTGTTTCAACTGTTTTTATAACTGGCGTTGTGGCACAGTGGCATCCTATACCAGAGCATAGTTCGAGTCCTGGTTGCTCCATTTCCACCCCAGCTCCTGCTGATATGCCTGGGAAAGCAATGGAGCATGGCCCAAGTGTTTGGGGCCCTACACCCACATAGGAGACCCTTTCTCAGTTACTCTGCGTCTCAAATAGGCGTTTATTTTTAAAGTTGTTTTTTTAAATTTTAAAGATTGTATTAATTTTTATTGGAAAGTCAGATATACAGAGAGGAGGAGAGACAGAGAGGAAGATCTTCTGTCCACTGATTCACTCCCCAAGTGACCACAACGGCCGTTGCTGCACCGACCTGAAGGCAGGAGCCAGGAACTTCCTCCAGGTCTCCCATGCGGGTGCAGGGTCCCAAGGCTTTGGGCCGTCCTCCACTGTTTTCCCAGGCCACAGGCAGGGAGCTGGATGAAAGCAGAGCAGCTGGGATATGAACCTATGGCTTTCAAAGCTAACTTAAAAAAAATTATTTGAGGGGATGGTGCAATGGCGCAATTAATTAATCCTCCATCCAACATCTCATACAAGTACCGGTTCAAATCCTGGCTGCTCTGCTTCCCATCTAGCTCCCTGCTTGTGGCCTGAGAAAGCAGGGAATGGTGGCCGAAAGCCTTGGGATCCAACACCTGCTTGGGAAACCTGGGAGAAGCTCCTGGCTCCAGGCTTGGGTCAGGTCAGCTCTGGCCATTGTCGCCATTTTGTACAGTGAACTAGCAGATGGAAGATCTTCCTTTCAGTCTCTCCCTCTCTCTGTAAATCTGACTCTTCAATAAAAATAAATAAATGTTTTTTAAAAAACTATTTGAAAGGCAGTTACAGAGAGATGTTCTTTCATGCCCTGCTTCATTCCCTAAATGGCCACAGTGACTGGAGCCGGGCCAGACCCAAGACAGCAGCCAGGAGCTTCTTTCAGGTCTCTCAAGGTCCTGAGCACTTGGGCCATCTTCCATCCCTTTCCCGGGTGCAAAGTCAGGGAGCTGGATAGGAAACGGAGCAGCCGGGCCTGGAACCTGCACCCATACGGGTGCCAGTGCTGCAGACAGAAGCTTAATGTGCTATACAGTACAGTGCCAGCTCCCCCCAAACCAACTTCTCCCATTCTATGGGTGGTCAGCCTTGAACTCTGTTCTAGGGAGGCCTGGGGGCTTCACCAGGAGGAAGGGGTGGGTGATGCTCAGGAAGGTGGGGGAGGGCGGTCCCAGTGCTGGGTGGAGTCCAGGTGTGGCTGAGGCCTTGAGGGTGCTGAGGGTATTCTAGGCAGTGCCCCTCTCCCCGCCTGGCGGGCACCGCCAGCCTCCTGTGTCCTTTGGTCCAGGACAGACCTGGAGTCCCAGCTTGCTCGGGTGGAGGCCTGCGCTGCAGACAGGACTCGGCCACCAGGAGGCGCGCGGACTCGCCGGTGCAGGCTGAGCTAGAGGAGCCGCGTCCTGGCTGCCGGAGCTGGGCGATGCACGCGGTGCAGACAGCTCTGGCCAAGGTGAGGTCTTCAATGCCTGCATGGCACCTGCAGCCGCTGTCAGCTTCTCGCGGCGGGAGCGACACGGAAGCGAGCCGCGCTGGCCACCTGCCGCTCTCACCGAGCGCTCGGGTCTCCCAGCACGCTCGCCCAGTGTCAGAGGCGAGCAGTTTAAACCGTTGCTGATGGGCTCTGCTCATGGATCGCACAGAAAGGATCAAACAGCGGTTACTTGCTCCCCAGCATCTCTGTTTTACTGTATTGCTATTATTATTATTTTTTAAAGTAGTGGTGTGTGGCTTAGCTAGTAAAACCTTCACCTGTGGCTTTGGCATCCCCTATAGGCACTGGTTCGAGTCCCGGTTGCTCCACTTCCCATCCAGCTCCTGCTTGTGGCCTGGGAAAGCAGCAGAACACGGCCCAGTGGGAGACTTGGGATGAAGCTCCTGGCTACGGATTGGTCAGCTTAGCTCTGGCTGTGGTAACCCTCTGTGGAGTGAACCAGCAGGTGGAAGATCTTTCTCTCCATAACTTTGCTTTTCAAATAAATAAATATTTTTTAAAAGGTGATATAACTTGAAAAACATTAAAGTCTTAATTTCAGCCATTTCAGTGCCACCTTTAGTGGGCTACACCGTTTGGGGGTTCCCCTGTGAGACCACACCTTCCTCCTGGTTCCGTTTTCATCGTCCCTGACGTAGTCGGCTCCCTGGGGTCTCTGACCTGCTGCTGTGGTCCGTGTGGTCCACGCGAATGGGCTGCTCATCTCCTCTGCCGTCAGGGGCAATGCTTTCAGTGGGGTTTCCAGAAACGCCCCCAAACCGCGTTGCCTTTCCACGTGGGGCTGCTGCCGAGTGTCATGTTTAGGAAGTACGTGACGGAGAATCAATTGGAGCGTCATTAAAAAAAAATACTTATTTTATTTGTAAAAGTAGATTTACAGAGAGGAGAGACAGAGAGATCTTCCTTCTGCCAGTTCACTCCCCAAGCGGCCATAATGGCCAGAGCTGAGCTGATCTGAAGCCAGGAGCCTCCTCCAGGTCTCCCACGTGGGTGCAGGGTCCCAAGGCTTTGGGCCGTCCTCCACTGCTTTCCCAGGCCACAGGCAGGGAGCTGGATGGGAAGCGGAGCTGCTGGGATAGAACCAGTGCCCATTTAGGATGCTGGCACATGAACGGTGAGGGTTTAGTCCCTGAGCCGCTGCACCAGCCCCCATTTTCTCTTTCTTTCTTCTTCTTCTTCTTTTTTGTTTTTTTTTGAATGATGAGGGCTCCTCTGGCGTACAGGTGTATTGTGTGTGCCTGCCCATCTCTCTCCAGAGCAGCACATTTGGGCTGCCTCCATTTTTCAGTCTGTGGGAGCCGTGCTGATTTGGAAATTCAGGCTAAGCCCTGCCAGCACCTGCTGTCTGTCCTTTCAGATGTTTCCCCAGGGGTGGGGTTGCTGGGTGACGTGGTGGCTCTATGTTGAACCTATCGGGGAACCCCAAACTCTTCTCTGTAACTGCTAAACACCTTTGCATCCTCGCCAACAACATTTGGGGTTCCGGTTTCCACATGGGGCTCACTGTAGGGCGTCATCTACATGCTGGTGATGTGGTGCCCCATTGTAGCTGGTTCGCGTCTCTCTGGGGACTCATGGTGTGAGGCAACAGTCCCACGTGGAAAGTCATCGAGGTTTGGAGGCGTTTCTGGAAACCCCACTCCGTGGTGTGTACTGACTATTTGTAGATACTCTTTGAATGAACGCCTGTTCAACCCCTTGGTTCAATTCTGAATGAAGATAAATTTTAAAAATATTTTATTTTCATTTGAAAGGCTGAGTTATAGAGAGAAGGAGAGACAGAAGGACACCCAAAGAAAAAGACTTTGCATCCACCCTTTCACTTCCCAAATGGCTGCAACAGCTGGAGCTGAGCTGCTCGAAAGCCTGGAGCCAGGAGCGTCTTCCAGGTCTCCCACATAGCTGAAGGGCTCCAAGGCTTTGGGCTGTCTTCGGCTGCTTTCCCAGGCCACAGGCAGGGAGCTGGATGGGAAGTGGAGCAGCTGGGACTCAAACCGGTGCCCATAGGGAATGCCGATGCCACACGTGGAGGCTTAGCATACTACACCACAGCACCAGTCCCAAGGGAGTTTTGTCTGCTTGTTGGTGAGAGCTGATTGTGGAAACTGGGCTCAGCAGATGTGCAATTTGCATAGTCTTGTCCCCATTCTTTTCAGTTCGTTGGTGCCACCCGTGATGCGTCTATATCTTCCTTTTCCTGCTTGTGCTGTTGGTGATATTCCAGAGGAATCAACCGTCATGTGCATCTTCTTCCAGCATCAGCTCTCACACACAGGTCCAGCTCGGGCACATGCTGGTGTCTGTTAGATGGAAGACGTCCAGGATGGCTCCCTTTCCGGGGCTATCCACGCATCCAGCACCACCATTGGGGTAGCTAATCTTTTGGTTCTGGTGCTCTGAGCAAAAGCCAGCAGACGATGGGGCCAGCCTTGCACTATGGCAGATAAATGCTGGGACTAAGGTACCCCATGAGGCTCAAGGGGCTTTGAAGGGGTAAATGGAGGATTCTCAGTTAGGTAGATGAGCCAAGTTTATCCAGGGGCATCCAATATAATCCCAAGGGAGATTGTGAGGAGAGAAGGAGAGCCCTGCCCCCTGAGAACCTCAAAGCTGCATGGTTTGGGGTATAGGGAGGAGAGTGGAATGTCCTGCAGGACACAGGGCAAGTGGGGTCTGTGTGGGCAGCTGGGAGTGAAGATGTGAGGAGGGGCTGAGGAGAGTGAAGGCAGCATCAGTCCATCCTTCCACCCATCCATCCATGCATCCACCCATCCATGCATCCACCCATCCATGCATCCATCCATCCATGCATCCACCCATCCATGCATCCACCCATCCATGCATCCACCCATCCATGCATCCATCCATCCATGCATCCACCCATCCATGCATCCACCCATCCATGCATCCACCCATCCATGCATCCATCCATCCATGCATCCATCCATCCATGCATCCACCCATCCATGCATCCATTATCCACACGCATCCAGCCATCCATGCATCCATCCATCCATGCATCATTCACACACACCAGCCAGCCACCCACTTACCTACCCATCCACTCATCCACCCATCCATCCATGCATCCATCCATCCATGCATCCATCCATCCATGCATCCACCCATCCATGCATCCACCCATCCATGCATCCACCCATCCATGCATCCATTATCCACAGGCATCCAACCATCCATGCATCCATCCATCCATGCATCCATTATCCACACGCATCCAGCCATCCACCCACTTACCCATCCATCCATCATCCACACACACCAGCCAGCCACCCACTTACCTACCCATCCACTCATCCACTCATCCATCCATCCATCCATCCATCCATCCATCCATCCATCTACCCATCCACTCATCCACCCATCCATCCATGCATCCATCCATCCATGCATCCACCCATCCATGCATCCACCCATCCATGCATCCATTATCCACAGGCATCCAACCATCCATGCATCCATCCATCCATGCATCCATTATCCACACGCATCCAGCCATCCACCCACTTACCCATCCATCCATCATCCACACACACCAGCCAGCCACCCACTTACCTACCCATCCACTCATCCACTCATCCATCCATCCATCCATCCATCCATCCATCCATCCATCCATCTATCCATCCATGCATCCACCCATCCATGCATCCATCCATCCACATGCATCCAGCCATCCACCCACTTACCCATCCATCGATCATCCACACACACCAGCCAGCCACCCACTTACCTACCCATCCACTCATCCACTCATCCATCCATCCATCCATCCATCCATCCATCCATCCACCCATCCACTCATCCATGCATGCATTTGTCCATCCACCTACTCATTCATTCATCATCCGTGGGCATCTAGGTGTCTGGGGCAGTAGGCACAGGCTGGAGTTCTGAGACCCTCTGTCCCCTTGGAGTGATATCCTCCTGTTTTCCCCTGACCATGTACTGACCACTGCGTTTCCTGTGTCCATGAATCTGCCCTCAGAAACCCCTCGTGTGATGGAATCATCCAGCAGTTGTCACTGGCTGAGGGTGATGTCATGCAGCTTGGTGAAATCGGGGGTCGGGTCTGCCGAGGTCGGCAAAGAGTGGCGGTCCCCTGAGCTTGTTCTGTAGTCAGGGTGGCTGGGTGGGCCTACCCTTGGGTTGCTGTAGCTGCGGATGCCCCAACAATCGGCTCAAGGCTGTTGGCCATGCTCCGTGTTGCATGGCTAGAAGTGGAGCTGCTGGGTCCCAGGAGCGTTCTGTGTTCAGTGATGTGAGGAATCACCATGCTGTTCTCTCTTAGGCCACCTTGTGTCCAGCACACAGAACAGGGGTTCCAGTATCTTCACTTCCTCACCAATACACCAGTTCCCCTTTGCCTTCTTCTCAGGATCCCTCCTAACGAGGAGGAAGTGAGATGTTGTCGGAGTCATGGCAGGTGGTTTTCATGTTTCCTCAGAAGTGATGGGAGTGTCTCAATCCTTGGTCCTTCACTGAGGGGACGTCTCTCCAGACCATACACTGCTGTAATATAGGGCTGCACTTGGCTGTGACCGGCTGAGGGACGCACCAGCCTCGTGGCTCCCTGCTGTAATACAGGGCTGCACTTGGCTGTGACCGGCTGAGGGACGCACCAGCCTCGTGGCTCCCTGCTGTAATACAGGGCTGCACTTGGCTGTGACCGGCTGAGGGACACACCAGCCTCGTGGTGTTCTACTTCACAGTCTGGAACGTTCTGGAGCCAGCCTCTCACTGGGGATCTAGTTTCTCCCCTTGGAATGTAACTGTTACTTCGGTCCCTTCACAATGTCTTCCCCAGCACACCGAGCCCTCGTGTCCCCAAGCATCGGCTGTGCAGCAAACCAGTATATGCGGCTGAGGACGAGGCTGGAAGGGATAAGGTGTGGGGTGTGGGAGACCCGGGGTGCAGGAGGTCATTGGGGCAGCTCCCTGGGTGGGTGGTGGTCGAGGGGCTCAGTCTGAGACCTGTGGATGTGACTGAGTTCAGGAACTTGACCCGAGGGCAGCGTCCTGGCTGAGGCCCGTGCAGGTGGCCCGGTGGTCAGCCCCTGGCCCCACCCATGGGAGACCTGGATGAGTGTGAGGCTCTTGGCTCCCGCCTGGCCCAGCACTGGCCACTGCCACCATGTGAGGAGCAAACCAGCAGATGGAAGAGCTCTCGTTCCCTCTCTGTGTCTCTCTGTAACTGCCTTTCACAGACATAAAACAAAACAAAGAAGACTTCCCTCGAAGACTCGAACCTGTGAAAGCGTTAGTGAGGACTCGGGGTGCAGCTGTGGGACCTCGGCCTGGATGATTCCAAAACCCGGAAACAAGACTTCCACATCACAAAGGGAACCACCGGCAGTTTGAACAACTGGAGACATGCACATCGCATGTCTAGCAGAGGATTTGTAGTCAAAGTACTCTTAAATGTAAATACACATTTCTTGCATAGTTGAGAGGGACGCGTGCCCATGGGCCTCGGATTAGGGTGGAGGAAGGTGGGCGAGACAAACGTTTCAGTTCTTTTTTTTTTCTCCTCCTGTGTCCACAGTGTGGGGCGGGGGCCGGGGCAGAGGAAAAGGGGGGCCGCTCCTTGCTGTTACGAGTACACCAGCTGTGAGCGATGGGGATGGTCATGACGGCGCTTAGAGATCCATTGTGGGCAGCTGTGCTCCAGGGGTGTTGCTTGAGTGGTTTTGACAGTTCTGAGGCAGCCTGGCCTGCCCCTAGCCCCAGCTTTCATGTTCACTTGTGAAGCAGAGGTCCAGACAGGAGCCTAATGGGCCCTGAGTGCCAGCAGGTGCTATGGCCCAGTGTGGCATGGCCTGCCCCAGTCTTGCCATTTATCAACAGGTGCTACAGCCTGGCACAGAGTGGTCCATTCCCCAGTCCCAGCTCTTTTTTTTTAAAAGATTTATTTTTATTGGAAAGTCAGATACACAGAGAGGAGGAGAGACATAGAGGAAGATCTTCCGTCTGATGATTCACTCCCCAAGTGACCGCAACAGCCAATCTGAAGCCAGGAGCCAGGAATTTCCTTCGGGTCTCCCACTTGGGTGCAGGGTCCCAAGGCTTTGGGCCGTCCTCAACTGCTTTCCCAGGCCACAAGCAGGGAGCTGGGTGGGAAGCGGGGCCGTCAGGATTAGAACCGGTGCCCATATGGGATTCCAGTGCATGCAAGATGAGGACATTAACCACTAGACTATTTCGCTGAGCCCTTTATTTATTTTTTTTAAAGATTTATTTATGTATATTTGAAAGGCAGTGTTACAGAGAGAAAGAGAGTCACAAACAGATACAGGGAGAGATTTTCCATCCTGGCTGCAAGGCCAGAGCTGAGCAGGTCAAAAGCCAGGAGCCAGGAGCTTCTTCCAGGTCTCCCACGGGGGTACAGGGACCCAGCGACTGAGTCATCCTCCACGGCTTTCCTGGAGCACGGAGCATGAAGCACGCAGAGCCCCCAGTCCAGGTGCCTCCTTGGCCACGCTGCAGAGGCGCTGGACTGACAGGGCCTGTGCCTGGAGGCCTGAGCGTAAGCAAGGGGCAGCGACAGTGGCCGCTGCAGCAGCAGAAGTGAGGTGGGCTCAGCGAGGTGAGAGGCCAGGGCCCTGGGGACGGCCGAGTGGGGGCGGGGTGAGAACCTGCTTGGCTCACCTGTGATCAGAGCATCTGCATGTACGCGCTGTCCTCTTTAGCTTTGGCCGGAGGCTCGTCCTTCCTACGGGGCCTCAGCCTGAGAGGGAGCAGGGTGGGCGCAGGGGGGTGGGGGGCGGTAGCTGGCTGCAGCTTGCCCGCCCTGTGCCGGTCAGGGCCTGGACAGCGACTGGGGGAGGGAGCCGGCCCAGCCCCACCCCCTCCAGGCCTCCTCACCCTGGACACCCACCGGGAGTCAGGCACAGCTGACAACTGGCTCTCGTGTTCTGGCCAGCCTGCCACTTGACCCACAGGCCCCTGAACCCCGTCCCTCCCTGCTGAGCGCTGGGCCCTGCCCTCCCCCAGGGGCAGCCTTACCTGAGGACCACGAGGCAGAGGCCCAGCAGCAGCAGGATTTTGGCCACTGCCTGCCCGATGGCGACCTGGACCACCTGCGCCGGGGGCCCTCCCTTCCCTATGGGGACATGTGAGGGAGGGCTTCACCAGCTGGGCCACCAGCCTGTGGCCCCCCATCCCGAGGGGAGCAGGTCGTGGCTCTGTGCCTGCTGCCTGCAGCCCGGGATCTCCTGCCCTGGGCTGCCACAGCCCACTGCTGCTCTCCCTGAAGGACCACTGCCTGCCCCTGAGCACCCAGGACAGCCACGGTCCACACTGCCCCTTCCCTTACTCTGCAAGCTCAGGGTCACCGAGACGTGCTGGGAGCCCAGCAAGTTCTGAGCTCGGCAGTTGAGCTCCCCTTGGTCCCCAACGTGCACTTGAGGCAGCTCCAGCACCCCAGTATCCGAGGACTGTGAGGGCATCAGGGGGAGGCCAGCCCGGTTCCAGCTCAGGTTGGCAGGAGGGTGGCTGACGGCGACACAGGCCAGGTGCAGGGGCTGGCCCTCGGCCACCAAGAGCAGCGAGCTGTTCGTCAGGACTGTGGACGCTGCAGAGAGAGAGGGTTGGCATGACCATGTGGTAGGGACAAAGAGGAAGGACAGAGGGAGGTGAGGGGAGGGACGGATTCAGAATAAGCAAGGGGGGCCGGGCATTGTGGGAGGGGCCCAGAGGGACCGTGTCGGGTAGGGAATCTTGCGGCCCCTTCCTAAAAAACAACAGCGCCAAATACACATGCACACAATTGTGCGCACACACTGCATACATGTGGTATAACATAGCACACACATGCATGCTCACGCCAGCACACGGACACCGTCGTGTACACACACAAACATGCATGCGACACAGCAGAGAACACACACACACCTACAACAAGCAAGCATGGACACCCACGGATGTGGTCACCGCTGCTTTCTCAGACGTAATAAGCTCAGAGCTGTGTCTGGTGCCCGTGGGCCATGACCACAGAGGAGCGTCCACCCCGCACTGGAGCCTCAGCTCCAGGGGACCCCAGGGACCACTCAGGGCCTCGGGCAGAAGGAAGGGGGCCTCAGCGGCCTGAGGGCCCATGACCACTGCGAGCAGGGGGCTGCGCTTCTGAGCACAGACCCCGCTGAGCTTTGAGGTGGCCCTGTGACCACATCCTCTTCCAGGCATTCTCGGTTCCCAGTTTCTGGGAGGATGGGCTCGGAGGCCGCAGGTGCATTCTGGACCGCCCCAAGCCCTGCCCAGCCAGCAGAGGTCCTGGAGGGACCAGCACTGGGGTGAGGGTCCTAGAGGCTGGGCTGCAGAGGGCAGGTGTAGCGATGGGTGGGGACACATGGCCCTCCTCCCTCATCCATGGTTCTGGGGCTGTAATGAACCCACTGTGTCCACCAGGAGGAGTCCCAGGTCAGTGGGGTGGAAGTGTAGGAAGAGGAGGGGCCAGCCCTGCTCCCCGCAACCCTGTGGAGCCGTGGCTCCCTACCTGAGCCAGCTCCTTGGAGGACAATCACGGTCACGTTCTGTGGAGGGTCTAGACAGAAAGACCCCCTAGATGAGTCCGCGGAGATGCTGGGCGGTGGGGAGCTTTGGCCTCAGTCCTCAGGGGTTGGCTAAGAGAAGAGGTGGACCCTGCATCCTGCTCCTGTCCCCTTGACCGCGATTCCAGGACCCAGCACCTAGTGTCCAGGCCCTGAGCCCCCATCCCGCTGTCCTCAGGGCCCTGGACCCGTGCCCAGCTCTCACAGGACACGCTGAGTCGGATGGTCCTCCTCGCGGTCACAAAAGCTCCAGGTAGGGTCACCTGACACGTGAGGTTGGTGCCGTGGTCCTGAGGCCGTGGGTTGAGTCTGAGCACCGAGGAGTGGGTGACGGAGGGGTCCAGGTGGGACACAGAGTCCCCCATCCAGGAGAAGGTGGGGAGTGTCCCCTGCTCACAGGCCCAGGGCGCAGAGCAGATCAGGGAGCTGGTGTGGCCAGATTGCAGGGACCCCGGCACGAAGATGTCAGGGGTGTGGGTCAGGGCTGGGCGGGGAGAGGGGGGACACAGGCTCAGGAGGCAGGGTCTGGGCTCCTCCCTGAGACCCCAGCACCTGCCAGGATGGCAGAATCCCTCCCAGCCCTGTCCTGGGGCCATTCCTGGAGCCAGTACTTACCTGTCACTCGCACAGAGAGCTTCTGAGCTTTAAAACTCCACGTGGACTTTCCCCTCTCCACAAAGAAGAAGTAGGTCCCCACGTCCCTGCTCCTGGCATCGGTGAGGTTCAGGGAGCAGTCGTTGGTCTTGGGGTCCCCGAGGAGGTGGAATCGGCCCCGGCTCTCCTCCTCCACCTTCTGCTCTGGGCTGTTGGTGGCCACTGGGGTATCCTGCTTCACACTGGCTCCGTCCCGGAACCAGTAGGCAAACACTGGGTCTGAGGAAGTCCAGCCATCCTCCGAGTAGGAAAACTCACAGGGCACGTGGACACACAGACCCTCCTGCACGACCACCGGGCCCTGCACCTGCAGCCGGAGGTCCTGCCATTTCACCTGTCCTTGAGCCTCCTCCCGGCTCTGGATGAGCAGCAGCAGGAGCAGCAGCGGTGCCGGCCATGGCATGTCCTAGCTTGGAGCCGCAGGTCCTCTCCACAGACCGACCACCTGCTCCCGGGGGTTCTGGTTATCACAAGCCTGGAAGGAGGAAGTCAGGGCAGACCACAGAACTGAGGGGGAGGAGAGGAGGAGGAGGTGGAGGAGGTGGAGGAGGAGGGAGGAGTGCTTTTGACTTTTCTGAGACCGCATAGCCACTCATTCCTTCACTCATCCGGCATACACTCGGAGGACTTCTGCTGTCTTCTGAGCGGATGAATCGGTGGATGCCTGGGGTGCTGTCCTCACTGGGTCACCAGGAGGACTCCATGGGACGGGCAGCCAGGCAGCAGGTGGGAGCTGGCTGGGTCACCAGGAGGACCCCATGGGACGGGCAGCCAGGCAGCAGGTGGGAGCTGGCTGGGTCACCAGGAGGACCCCTGGGATACCTCTTCTGTGCCGATTTGTGTCTCCCCAGGACTCTAGGGGACAGGAGGGTGGGAGAGGCAGGGACAGCGGGGCAGGGACAGCGGGGCTGTGGGGAGAGCAGAAGAAAGCACATTTGGTTTAGTGTTTTTTTTTTTTTTCTGGCGTGGATTACACAGTTTTCCTTTCATCTTTTATTGTAAAGAAAACGTAGCGTGCAATCTGCCTGTTTAACCATTCTTTCAGTATATAGTTTGGTAGTGTTGTGTTGTGTCCTGAAGGAGTTCATAGAAAATACATATTATATAAAAACAAAGCCAAATTGACTTACGTGTTACGCCCACTCCCCTGCTTACCTTTCGAAGCGCCCCTTTAGCTTCACGTTGACAACTTGTATCCCCTGACGAGTCTGAACTGCAGCTTCTCAGTGTGTCCACGTGCAGCTGCATCAACACTGATGAATCACTCGCGGTTGGTGTGCCTGAGCGCCTAGGACACGAGTGACGTGGCTGAAGGAGCGACTGCTGTTCCAGGTTACATTAGCGATAGCCACGCAGGAACTGCTGGGTGACCCTGCGTTTCTAACCGTGCTGTGCAACCGGCGGAGAGGAAGCCAGTGGCTCAAGTCTTATCTCCTTGGTCAAGGAAGGTTTCCGCCTGCAGGAGGGCCATGTGCCTTCGGATCATCTCGCGTCATTTTGGGGCACAGTCTTAGAGAAATGGGACTCGGAGCGTCACCGTGGTTGTTGAAGTGCTCCAACAGCTGGGAGTCGGAGTCTTGCACAGACTCTTTTCGGAAGGGAGGGCAGTGATTACAGGGGTCTTGGGGGGCTGGCACTTGGGAAACGGTCTTGGATGAGAATCCAGACACCCAGAACGTGCGGGTGTGGGTTTGGTTGGAGTCCTGAAGCGCTTGCCTACACCTGTCCTATTGCGACTCATGATTCCACAGGAGCCAGCTTCCTCTCCAGGGTCCAGAGAGACCAGGCTTTCTTGTGCAGCCATCCCAAAGGGATGCTAGCGCCGTTAACTGCCTCTCCACTCAGAACCAAATGCCAGGCTAAGAGTGGAAATGCAACTCTGAAGCGTTGTGGACCAAGTGAGATAAGATGGTACAATGCATTGTGCTGCCCTTGCTGATGGGAACACACCAAGGAAACGTTAGAGATACAATGTCTTGGGCTCCCGGCAGTCTCTTGTGGCTTGTTGGAGACAATGCTGTTTCCGCTGAATTCAGCCACGGCCCCTTGCAAGAAAGTTGAATCCTGAACGGCTTTGGCACCATGGAGAAGAAGCAACCGGTTCTTTGAGAAAGCTACAAGTGTTGGAGAATTTAAAATGATGGCGACGCAGCCCAGAACCTGTGGCTGTGACCTCACACACAAATGGATCTTTCCAGAAGTGATCCAGTGAAGATGTAAATATTATATAAATGGCTATTTATTTAGTTGAGAGGTTCAGGAAGAGGCAGCATGGCTCCCCCTGGTGGCCGTGACTGGGCAACGTGGAGCTGCAGACAAAGGTAGCCCACGTGCCCAGAGAGGATCATGGTGGGTGATGTGGCTTGGCACCGGGTGCCCCAACTCCTTCCCGTCCCGAGGACGGAGGGTCGTGCGAGGTAAGACCCCCTGCTCCTCAGACTGCCTGGATCTGGTGCCACGCATCCCCTCACCCACTGCAGAATTCATACTGTAAAGGATATCACAGATTGCATTTTGACAGCAAAAGAACCTAGTGGATTTTCCGCCCCCACAGAATTTTTTAAAAAGGGTCTTCCTTCCCAGGCCACAAGCAGGGAGCTGGATTGGAAGTAGAGCAGGCGGGACTCAAACCGGCGCCTGTATAAGATGGCGACTTTACAGGCAGAGGATTAGCCTGATATGCCATTGTACCTGCCTCTATTTTTAAAGATAGAACCGGTTGTTATCTTGCTAACATTGAACTATCCTCAAAGGATCAGAATATGTGTACTAGCCAGTTTTACTTTTGTTGTTAAAATGCTTGGGCAGGTTAACCTTCTACAGAAGAGGTTTGCTTACAGTTCTGATGGCTGGCGCTGGTGTCGCTGCTGGCAGAGGCCTCTGGCAGCGTGGGCGCTGGCCGGATGCTCCCTTTCTTACGAAGAAAGCCGTCCGGAGTCCTTCATGGGGCATCACCCTACCGTCTTCATCTAATCCTGATCACTTCCTCAGTGTCCCAACTTCAAACACCAGAGCCGGGGGAAGCTTCCACCTGCCTAATGCCTTCAACTGGAGATCCAATTTCCAGATATCGGAAGTTTCAAACCATATCCAAGCATAGCAGTGTGGCTTACAGTGTTTTTGCTTGTTTTGGATTTATTTATTTTTACTGCAAAGGCAGATTTACAGAGAGGAGGAGAGAGAGAAAGAGCTTCCGTCCGATGGTTCACTCCCCAAGTGACTGCAATGGATGGTGCTGCGCTAGTCGGAAGCCAGGAGTCAGGAACTTCCTCCAGGTGTCCCACGTGGGTGTAGGGTCCCAAGGCTTTGGGCTGTCCTCGACTGCTTTCCCAGCCCAGACTTACACCAGCACTATAACCTAGGAGGCTGGCATCACAGGTAGGAACTTAACCTATTGTGCCACAACACCAACCTGCAATAATACCAGCCCGTCTCATCTTATGACATCCTTTGTGAATGGACGAATGGCCAGCATGCGTACGACACAGATGCGTGTTATTACAATTCACTAAATGTGGACTTTCATTAGTTCTAAAACAAAAATTTACTTTTCAGAAAATGAATTCTGATATTCAAAGAGAAGTCCCAATCAGAACATTATGTGCCTCAAAATTTTGGTCCCCATTTTTAGTACATTTTGCTTTAAAGCACCTTTCTTTCTACTGTACTAATTAGTGTCTGTCAGGCAAGACCTCCTAGGTTCAGTTTAGTTGAAGGAATGAAGGGAGGACAGAGAAAATGAATGGGTGGGTGGGTGGATGGGTGGATGGGTGAATGGATGGGTGGATGGGTGGATGGGTGGATGGTGGATAGATGGATGGATGGATGGATGGATGGATGGGTGGATGGATGGATGGGTGGGTGGATGGATGGATGGGTGGGTGGATGGATGGATGGGTGGATGGATGGATGGATGGATGGGTGGATGGATGGGTGGGTGGATGGATGGGTGGGTGGATGGATGGATGGATGGATGGATGGATGGGTAGATGGATGGATGGGTGGATGGATGGGTGGATGGATGGATGGGTGGGTGGATGGATGGGTGGGTGGATGGATGGGTGGATGGATGGATGGGTGGGTGGACGGATGGGTGGGTGGATGGATGGGTGGATGGTGGATAGATGGATGGATGGATGGATGGGTGGGTGGATGGATGGGTGGATGGTGGATAGATGGATGGATGGATGCATGAATGGATGGATGAGTATTAGGAAGGGCAGAGAGAACTGGGTAAAATAGTCTTTAATGAGAAATCGGGGGCCTGGGTAAAGAGTACTCTGCAGCTCTGGATCCCAGGGCTCCCCTCTGTCCTCCGGCTCCTCCTCAGTGTAGCTCTGTTGCTCCTGGGTCTGGGAAGCTGAAGTCCACAGTGAGGTTTGTGTAGAGAGGGTGCTGCTCCCTGGAAAGCAGCCTGTACTCTGGGGAGCTGATGCTGTCCTGTCGCCACCTCCGACGAATGTGGGCCAGGACGCGGAGCCTGGGCAACAAGGAGGTTCCACTGTGGGATCCCACCACTTCAGGGAGGGCCTGGGGCTGGCCGCACCCCTCCAGCACTGACCTCGGCAGGCTCTGCCCACGGCCGGGGTCCTGCCCCTCCAGCATGTGGTAGCGGCCGAAGAGCAGGTGAGTCCGTGAGAGGTACATCCCGCTCAGTTCCACCCTTTGAGGGTTCAAGGAAAGGACCGGAAGGCCTGGCGTTTGTCTCAGCCCAGCTCCCCAATTCAAGCTAGCCCATGTGCCCAGTCTAGGACACCCCAGGACCCTTTGTCCAGTGTGGCCTGTGTCCCTCCCTGCACTTCATCGTGGGAACCCACAGCCGCTTCTGCTAGGCTCCCTGCATCAGGATGCCCCACCTGGTAGCAATGTCGTTGTCCTCGTCTTCCAAGCTCTGGTACCCACTGGGGAAGCCATGGATCCTCATGTAGTGAATGGGGCGCAGTGAAAGCACCCCTCCGAGGTAGCCTTGGTAGGGCAGCCTAGGGAAGCAGGGAGTTGGAGACACAGGGGTTCCAGGCCACAGAGGTCCTGCTGACCAGGAGCTTCAACATCCACTTCTGGGTTAGCTTGTGTCCCAGTACCCCGTCCCAGCCTCCTTCATTCCACCCAGGGGTCTCTCCGTGGAACCCCAGGATATCCCTTTTCTGATTCTGGGGTAACCTGTGACCTCCTGAATCTTTCCACAGCCAGTGGGCACACTTGCATTCCCTCTCCCCAGACCCTTAGGGAAGCCCCTTCTCACCTCCACGACCACCCTCTCTGCCCACTACTGAATCAGGAACATCTTGCGATTCCCTCATCAGTGACCACTCCCTCATGGATGGCAAGGTCTAAAAGTAAAGTTCTTCATCATCCACTAAGTATTTCTCTAGGACCCATCATTCCCCCTTCCCTGCCTTAGCCTCAGCGCCCAGGGCCTGGTCTCCTGGCCAAGCCCCTCCAAGCAGTGCCCTCCTTCACCTACTTGTAGTTGAACTTGTCAATGGCCACGGACACATGGGCAGGGAAGAAGTCACAGGTGTAGACGTTGCGGTCATCCTCCGGAAGCACGTTGACGTCGTGTAGGAAGACACAGTCCCAGTCCTCATCCCGCAGGGCCTCCCAGAAGCCCACGTTGCGGAGCCGGCCTCTGCTGAAGGCGGTGCTGTTCACCTGCATGGGACACGGATTTCCAGTGCTGCCCTTGCCACTGGGCAAGAGTGCCCGCCTACCTGCAGTCGGGAGACCCAGACTTGTCCAGGAAGATGCAGTGAAAGGGGGCACCCACTTCCAAGAAATGCCCAAGAGTCGGTGGCCTTTGCCCATCTTCAAGTCTCCTAAGCATCACCTTCGATGCAGGGAGCAGGCATTACGGAAGACCCACTCGTGCCTCTGCTGCCATTCCTCCTAGGGAGCAGGCCCAGGAGTCACCATGGAGTTCAACTCTCTCCCTTCCCACCTTCATCAGTATCATCATCATTACCATCATTGTGTGTGTCAGTAACACGGCCATCACCATCACCCTAGTCACCGTCGTCATCTTCAGTGCTACGGACACAACCACCATTTCCAGGATCACCACCATCACCACCCACCACTGCCATCACCACCTTCACCACCTTCACCACTGCCATCACCACCCCACACTGCCATCACCACCCACCACTGCCATCACCACCCCACCACTGCCATCACCACCCCACCACTGCCGTCACCACCCCACCACTGCCATCACCACCTTCACCGCTGCCATCACCATCACCCTAGTCACCGTCATCATCTCCAGTGCTACGGACACAACCACCATTTCCAGGATCACCACCCCACCACTGCCATCACCACCCCACACTGCCATCACCACCCACCACTGCCATCACCATCGCCCTACCCACCGTTGTCATCTCCAATGCCATCTACACAAGCACCATCTCCAGTATCACCATCACCACCGTCATCACCACCACCCATCACCACCCCACACTGCCATCACCACCCCACTACTGCCATCACCATCACCCTAGTCACCGTCGTCATCTCCAGTGCTACGGACACAACCACCATTTCCAGGATCACCACCGCCACCACCCATCACCACCCCACACTGCCATCACCACCCCACTACTGCCATCACCACCTTCACCGCTGCCATCACCATCACCCTAGTCACCGTTGTCATCTCCAGTGCTACGGACACAACCACCGTTTCCAGGATCACCACCGCCACCACCCTAATCACCACCCCACCACTGCCATCACCACCTTCACCGCTGCCATCACCACCTTCACCGCTGCTGTCACCACCCCACCACTGCCATCACCACCCCACCACTGCCATCACCACCCCACACTGCCATCACCACCCCACCACTGCCATCACCACCCCACCACTGCCATCACCACCCCACACTGCCATCACCACCCCACCACTGCCATCACCACCCCACCACTGCCATCACCACCTTCACCACTGCCGTCATCATGTCACTTGTGGACCACCTATTTTCTGTTAGACATCGGCCTAACTACACTGTACTAACTCCCTCGATGGGTTTTTCTCGTAACCAGCGATGGAAGTACTATGTCTCTATTGTGAATCAGGAAAGTTGGAATCCACATGAGTTTAAGTGAGTGACGCGTGATGAATGAATGACGCCATGCTAGGATCACACGTTGGGTAACAGGCAAGGCTGTGATTGAAATAAACATATGACTGGTTCCACTTCCAATGTTGTATCTTTTAGGGGTTTTGTTCAACTTGTTTTTTTAAAGATTTATTAATTTTTATTACAAATAAAAATTTATTAATTTTTATTACAAAGTCAGATATACAGAGAGGAGGAGAGAGGAAGATCTTCCATCTGATGATTCATTTCCCAAGTGACCGCAACGGCCAGTGCTGTGCCAATCCGAAGCTGGGAATCAGGAACCTCTTCCAGGTCTCCCACGTGGATGCAGGGTCCCAAGGCTTTGGGCCATCCTTGACTGCTTTCCCAGGCCACAGGCAGGGAGCTGGATGGGAAGTGGGGCTGCTGGGATTAGAACCGGTGCTCATATGGGATCCAGGAATGTTCAAGGCGAGGACTTTAGCTGCTAGGCCACACCGCCGGGCTCCCTGTCCAACTTGTTTTAAGAAAGGCATCCAAGCTGACCCTAAATTCAACAACTGCAGGTAGTCCTTGGGCCCAAACATCCCCAATTCAAGTTCCTCTTCACTAGGAAATTTGACAACCCCCTCCCCGCCGCCTCCCGATACCCTCTGACCCAGCAGTGCAGGATTCAGCCTAGCTCTTTGAGGTGCACCCAGGCTCCTCGGACCTTCTGCGCCTGTGCCACCTGCCCACCCGCCCTGCCTCACCTGATTCACCACGTAGATGGCATAGTGCAGTTGCTGGCGCTGCAGAAAAGGGTGTAGGTGGAAGAGCAGGTGCTGCAGGTGCTGGGCTTGCCCGTAGTAGGGCACCACAACCGCTGTGTGGCGCCTTGTCCAGCAATCAGGTGGCCAGTACTGACCTCCTGGCTCCACCAGTGGGTTCTTTTCCGCCACCTCCTCCATGGTCAGGTTGTCTGGGACCATCACCTTCAAGGGGCCATCTGACAGAATAGAGGCAGAAGCCCACGGTGACCACGGATGATCTGGGTGACCGTCCACAAAGCTCGGCAATACTGGGTCGCACAGTGTCACCCAATGTTCACATCCACCCAGAGCTTCAGAATGTGGCTTAATCAGACACAGAGTGTATGCAGATGGTGCTGGTTAAAATGAACTCCTACTGGGTTAGGGAGAACCCCAAATCCAATGGAAGAAGCCCCGAGGATGAGGAGACTGTGGAGGCAGAGATCGGAGCACCCACAAAGCGAACACCACACGAAGAGCCGGACACCATGACACGGAGGGAGGCATAGGCTGGGTGGTTGCTCAGAGCCTCCAGAGGCGCCAGCCCTTCACAGCATCTTGATTTTGGAAATTCATCTTCCTGAACCGTGAGAGAAGCAGTCTGTTGAATCAAGCCATTTGGCCTGTGGCCTTTACTATGGCGGCCCTGGAACACGGACAGGCCACACGTAAGGCTGTGGGACACCGCAGGAATGCCTGGACTTCACTCACCTCTCAGTGCGTCCTGATCTTCCCTCCGCCTCTGAGCACTTCTGTCAATCTTACCTCCCATCTCACCCCTGGGCCTGGCCTGGCTCCCACGTCCCTCACTCTTAGCAAGTTCGTCACCTCACATGGCTTCCCTTGCACGGGCCCCAATGGTCCCAGATCTGCCTGCTGAGCCCCCAGGTTCCCCTTCTGGATGCTTCTCAGGCTGCCCAGCCTCACTCATTTCAAATTACCCTTCCGGGAGGATAGCCATTATCATTTCCTTAAATCCTTGGGGACATACTGTCTCTTCCCAAAGACACACATGGTGGTATCTCTTGGGCCCTGTGTGATATCATAATGGCTAAATCCTCACCTTACAACTGCCAGGATCCTATACAGGCTGGTTCATGTCCTGGCTGCTCTGCTTCGATCCAGCTCCCTGCCTGTGGCCTGGGAAAGCAGTCGAAGACGGCCCAAAGCCTTGGGACCCTGCACCTGCATGGGAGACCTGGAGGAAGCTGCTGGTTCCTGGCTTCGGATTGGCTCAGCTCTGGCTATTGCAGCCACTTGGGAAGTGAACCCAGTGGATGGAAGATCTATCTCCCTGTCTCTCCTTCTCTTTGTAAATCTGCTTTTCCAATAAAAATAAATACATTTTTAAGAAAAATAGTTTCTCTTCCAGTTGAACCTGACTCTTCCTATGGATAGAACTGGAAACGAAAGAGGGGACATCACGATGGATTCCTCAGGAATTATAGTCACTGCAGTGGACTTTGATGAAGAAGTGTATGCCAACAAATTCCTAAGGTAGAAGCGACGGGGTGAATTCCTGCACACAGCCTGTCTGTGTAGCTGAATGCAGGCAGCCAAGCGGAAATGGACGCTGGGTGTTTGGAGGCCCTAACAGCTTCTGCTGTGATTCGATGAGAACTTTCTCTTCAGGCCTTCAGCTGCTGGGTCTGCACTTTGAGGCCAGCACGCCTCGAGGAGCTCAAACTCCACATGGAGAGACGCTGAGATGACACAAAGCCAGCAGGACGTCCGGTCAGTTCCTGGTGACATTCCAGTTCCGGCCACACCCTACCAATGGCATGCAGATCTCCAGCTGAGCTCTTTCCCAAATGAGAATGAGGGTTATTTACAGACTTAAGTTCTGCGTGGTTTTGTAGTGACACAGCCCTGGACGACAAGCACCCCGTCATGACTCAATACCACCATGTCCACAGCGTCATCCTCCCAGGTCCTGCCCACTCCTCGGGCACTCATGTCAGCACCCGGGGCACAGGGTGCTCTTAGAGACACGCAAGGCCCACCCCACGCTTACTGATGTAGGGTGAGACGATGGGACAGTTAGGCAGGTCCTTCTGCTGCACGTCCACGGGGCGGATCTGGCTGAGCTTGGCGTACACATCCTGCAAAGGGATCCGCGGAGAGAGGAACTGTGCCGGGAAGGGCGGCTCTCCTGCCCTTGGCCCATCTCGGAAGAGCAGGTGCAAGGAGGCGGAGTCACAGCATGTTTGGTAAAGGAAGACCCCTACAAGCAGCAGTTGTACCCCCAGAAATGAGAGCAGGACGCGCCTTCGTGTTTTCGTTCTGGGAAAGGAAGCAGAGGGTCAGGTCCCCATGCTGCGAACCCCTCTCTCTTGTCCCCCCTTGTCAGTTCTGAACGCTCCTTCCCCACAGCCAAGTCAGCTAAACTTCGGTGGCTCCTGAGATCCCCTGCCATCATCTAACTTTCCTGGACTATGGCTGTCCTCCTGAGCCCCCGCCATCAGTCCAGCAGCTTGCCGCGGGTGAGGTCAGGCTGGGCTCATCTCTGAGTGCCCCACATTCCCAAGCTCAGAAAACGGATGAAGGAGCGAGTCCAGCTCGGCGCTCTGCTCCCCTGCTCCCCTCCCTGCTCGCCCTTTGCGGGGTGCTGCTGGTCATCCTACAGCGCGCCCCCACCAAAGTCCCGAGGACGAGACACTGCTCCTGAGGCAACGTTACCGTCTGCGCAGCGCTAGCGACGCTGACCGCCTCTGCTCCTCCAGCTCCCGCCCTCATCTTCCCGCTCCACAGAGGGCGTGTCCCCACTGCTCCCTAAGTACCTGCAGGCAGTTCTTACTCTTCAAGGTCTCCTAGCTAATGACCAATGAGACCTTGCTTAAACTTACACTTAGAGGAAAAAAAAAAAATAAAGATACAGTACTTACAATGGAACTGGAAAAAAAAAAAAAAACCTCTCAGGGGAATAGTGGTGCAAAGGGAGGGGCTCTCTGCTCTCCTGACTCGTCCCAAGGGACGCCTTCGGGCCAGAAGCAAGCGCTCCACACTAGTCCCAGTTATTCCCATGCCAGTTGGAAGGATAGGAACAGGTGCCTAAATGAGCTTGTCAGAGGTACTGACACGTGGCACCCAGCCTGTATCCCTGCCGCGAGATCAGGAGGGGTGTTTTGGATGAACTGGGAAAGTACCGTTGAAGCAGGCTTAGATTTGACTCTTAAAAAAGCCTTCAGTGGGGGAGCACGGAGGAGAATCCAACCACAGCTGCGAATTCTCTCTGTGGGG